TATTGTTTATAGCAATTGTAGATAAATATTACTTATGCATCATAATTATATCGTTAAAGCCTCAATGAAAGGAAAATATCTGTCTTAGAGAATTTTTGATATTTTCAGCAGTTTTACTTTAATTACTGTTTTTAAAATGAATATTGGCTATATAGGGAAGTAGATATTTTTTTATGACAACAAAACACTCATAATATTTAATCAATTGTTTTTAAATCAAATCCTTAAGAGATGAGTTAAAGTTTTTTCAAATAACAAATCTGAATAACATAAGATTTTTTGATGCTTTTAAAATTGTGAAAGCCCCTGACTTATGATAATTTTTTTAAATGTTGCCTCTAAATATTGAGTTTTTTCATAAAACAACTTAAGAGTACTGAAAATTTTAAATTTAATAATACAATTATAAAAAGTAAAAAAAGAGTATTAAGTGAAAACTCTCTCAGTTTGGAAAAGAGGAAATTAAGCACTTCTTAAAAACACCCAATGTAAAAAGCACCTTCAAGTGCTATTAAAAAACAGAAATCAAAAATAAGCACTCTTTAAAAATGCTACACACCCTGTTTTACCCTCTTGGGAAAAACCTGTTTTTTACCAAGTAAGAAAATAAAAAAAATTCCCATGTTTTGAACAAAGAAACATTTTTTCCATCCTCAGAAAAATTTCTTATTGTTTCTACTATTTCTGTGAACATCTTAAAAGCATACATTAATGCAGTATTGAAGCAAGAATTCTCGAACTGTTTAAATAGTCTTGTATTACACATTGCAGTGTAATATATGACAATTTTAAGAAGTAATGTTCTAAAATTTTTTGCAAGGGTCAAAATTTTCTTGATATTCCTAATGAAACATATTTTGCCCTGATTTTTCTTTTTTATCTCTTTTTTTTCTATTATAGAGCACTATTATTACTCCTTTATAATACTCAATATAACAAGTGTGACGTATGAGATACTGCTCAAAATGCTAATATTAAATCTACAAAAAATGTATGTTTGTAAAAAGTTAAATATTACTAGCCTTCCTCTTTTGCAACAATTTCCTTTTTTTATATGTTTAAGTGAGCAATGTATACTCAAAATAGAGATTTAAAAAAAAAAAAAAAAGACATTTTTTTTTCATTTCTGGTATCAATATAAAAAAGTAAGAAACATTTCACTTGCAATATTAAACTGAAATGTCTATGTTGCAAACGTTGTAGGTGGCCACCAGTTAAGTTTTCTTAATCCGTAAGAGAAAAATACCTCTGCTGTTTTTTGTTGCAATATAGCTAACTATTAAGATCTACATACAGTGTTATCAATGAAGTCAAAAGCTATTACCCTTCATTTCATTGTTTCCATACATCTTGCTAAAAAATTGTTGTTAATTAACTTGATGAGATTTAAGTCAAGCTTATCAGCACTCTAAATATTAAAATAAGATAGGAATTATCATATATTTTTTTTAAAGAATACAGTCATTCTGAAATAAAATTTTAGTTTATCAATTTTGATTAAAGTTGAAGAAAAAAAATGCTTCGGTAAGTAGACCATAAATTATAACTTTTCAGATAGGTGTTTTAATTTTCTAAATTATACCTTCTTAGTTTGTTTTTCTTGCTCTATTTTTCTATTAAAAAAATATTCTGAGCTTAAGTTATCTTGATTTTGTCCTAGTCTTTCTTTTTTTATTATTATTTTCTATTTGAACCACTAGGAGGCCTGTTTTTGCCATTACATTTATCATATATTGATTTATAAATTTACGTAACTTTTGTCCATAATAAAACATTTGTGTATTAATATGTTGTCAGTGTGAGTAAAATAATCTTTTTTTCTAATCTAATTTTATAAAAATAAATGACAAAAGATTGGTAAGATAAATCCTTGTTTTATTGCTACTGTAGATCTTCCAACTATCCTTTTGTAAAAAAAAGAAAAAAAATATTATCATTTGATACTTTAATAAAATTCTGCTTGAATTTTCCAGTTATTTTCTGTAAATAAATGCAGCTGTAATAAAGTTATAGTATACAATGATATAATACAATAATGTAATTTATAAATATGATTTTAAATCTTTATTGGCTCATATTGAAAATTTTATAAGTTTGTCAGTTTTTAATAGTGAGAAGATTTGCCTCACCTGGTTATGTGAAAACATTTACAATTTAGGAGACACCTTACCTCCCTAACCATTTTACAACCGTGAACCGGTCAACGTTTGATAATTTTTCTACAGCCCCTTGAAGTGAAAGGCGAACGTTGATTATTTGTATTTTAGATTGTTATGATTTAATAATTTTTAGAGTGTATTTATACACGGAAAAAAAAACCTGTTACATTTGTGGTATTGGTGATGTCTCCCAGTTAACCTCTCGTCCATAGAAAATAGCACAAACCTGGGAGAAATACACTACAGTGAATAATCAAATGTTTCTTGGGGGGTCCGGTACCATTTGATTTAGGGACCGGTCCACAGCCCTGGGATTTGAGACCACTGCTTTACATCATATCACTTGTCCAATGGCTTGTTACTTGCTGATATACATATATATAAAAATATATATCATCAAATAATTCTTAATATTAGCTATAATAGGTAAATAATATATATTCCTAATAGCTATAAATAACAAACTACTATGTAAATAAATAAACATGGGTTAGTAGTATTTACCAGATTTTTCCATAGTTTTTATCATGTACTAGCAAAATCTAGTTTTCTCCTAGTAAAAACCCAACTTTGGAGCTATTATTTGCAATTTGTTAGCTCACACATCTTTCCAAATTTCTAGATGTTTTTTTCCCAGCAATCTTAACCGATTCTTTTAATTTGATTTCAAACTACAGAAATAATTAACCACCAACATTTAAATGATAGAGTGAGGTGGTGAATTGTGGGGAGACTTGAAGCAGGCCAGTCTGAAATCCAGATTTGCAGAGTACTCAACATAACAAATTGCATCATGTGCAATCTATGGTAACAATTTCAAGATTCCAGATCTAAAGAGAGAACCTAGTACCCACCTTCTAATGTCTGAGAAACTGACCATTTTGGCAGTTCATCATCTATATTTTTTGCACACACAAAAAATGGATGATTTATTGATTGCAAAGGCTCAAAAGTGCTTAAGTCAATGAAAAATGTCAGATTACTTTAGAAAAATGTAAAATTCAATTTAAAGTAAGGTAACTTTATAATCCAGTTTATTTTTCTTAAACTTTTGTTACTCTGTAGTTCATAAACTTTAATACGATATTACATCAAAACTTATATACATTATTTTAATACATCCAAACTTATTATACATAAAAAAAATTTAAAAAATTGCAAAGTAAGGGTAAGTCAAAGTTATTTTTCAGTCCCCCACAGATTTGAAGGTACTTAGGGATTATCCCATTGAACATTTTTGTACTTTGGAATTATCTCGTCAACCATTATCATCAAAAGGTAGCTTCTGTGCCAATAATTGTAAATTTTATAACATTTACTGTGTTCACACTTACATTTTTTTTTGTTATTATTATTTGATAAATTGAATGTGTTTATTTTGGAAATTACTCTTGATTATGATAGCACCAAAAAATTTTCGCGAGCGTCAACAGAATATTCCCAAAGTATCGATTTGAGTTATGAACTGTCTGTAATATAATTTTATATTTCTGTCCAGGGCACCCTTTGGGTTATATCAAGATTTTAATTGAAAAACTACTAAACATTAGGCCATCTTTGTAAGCTGTTTGTCGGCTGTAACCACATCCAAAATAAAATTGCGATCAAACAAGTATTATCTTCATAAGAAAAACATTATTTTCATAAAAATAAAATGTGAATTTATTTAAAAAGAACACATCATTCATAAAATTATCAACCAGCACAAAATAGTGAAATATAAAATTATGCATCTTATAAATTTATATTCGAAAGATTTAACAAGTTTATAAATAAATTTATCTACCAAAATTTACTCAGTTAGAAGAAAATAGTTCCATTAAAATTTAATATAAATTTGTATCCATAAGTAGTTTAGTCAAGATATAGACAACAATATTTAGGATACTACATCAGATAATAAAACCATTGAATCAAATTTAGGGATGTAGCGAATCTTTGGCTCCTTTGCCAAATATTTGCTTGGTCAAGTATTTTTTTAAAAAAATATTTTTTGACAAAATTTTTTTGGAATTTTAATAGATTAAATAAAGAATAATCTAAAATAGTATTTTTATTATAGATCCTTTCATATAGTTTTTACACATATATGTTAAATTTTAAAATTCAAACTTGCAAACTTATGTTCTAGAAGACAAGTTTCAAGAAATGAAACTAGATAACTTTATACTAAACCATGTGTTTCTTACTGCTGATTTTTTTAAAATTACATTCAGGTGAACATATATAACATACTTTATTTTGCATTTTTGTTTTAATGATTGAGGATGTTGTTGTTGCTGTCTTTATTATAGTCAGGGTTGCAAAAAAAAACGGGTTTTGTAGGGCAGGGATAAGTACCTTATTTTAAAAAAGCTTATTTCGATACTAATAATTAAGTTTAATTTTATAAATTGACTTCATATAGATAATTAATATAAATAAATTGATGTGAAAGTCTGAAAAAAGTTTCTTCTGACATCTCAATCCAAAATGTTATATGTACCCACATACATCACACAATTGAAACTTATTTTAACACAGGATTACTTTTTATTTATATTTTAATCTTAAAAAATATTTGAGGAAATTTTTTTTATTTGCATAGAAAGTGAATGAATGGCACTGAATATTCAATGGCCATACAGTCAAATCTAGCCAGCAAGGTGACTCTTCAGTCTCCAACACAATTAGTTTGTTCACTATAGGTTAATTTTTTTTAGACTAGACTACATATATATTTCAATAGAATAGCTCTTTAATATAACAGTAAAAAAAGAAATCAATCTTGGAAAAAACCAATAAAACCCACTTTAGAGTGGGTTTTACCCAGTAAAACCCGGGCAGGTGGGTTTTTTGCAACCCTGATTATAGTGCCTCATTTTATTGAACAATTTATGATAGACTTCATTTTTTTATCGTACGGTAACACAGATAGGCGGCAACAAAAAAGCCGTGATTTTCAACATTCAAGTTATATTTTACGAAATTAAAAAAAATATATATTTCTCTTCTTATATTAACTTTTCTTTTCATCAGTGTTTTTATTATGATAGTTTTTAAAGAGCATTTCTCATGAATGTTATACTTTTAAAAATACGACTATATGAAAAAGTAGAGCAGCATTTTTAAAAGTGAAGACTATATTTCCTTTAACGTTTTATGTGTACTTTTTCGGAAAATATTATTTATTTATTATTTACTTTTTTTTTGCTATTGCTTTCACGATATTGCTAAGTGTTATTGCTCTCACTTATATATCTTAAATATTTCTTATTAATTTTCAGTGTCTTTTAATACATGAAAAAATAATATTTATTAAGGATTTTTTTTTTAAAATATGTTTAGCCACTGAATAATCAATATTCGGCCAAATCACTATTTGTTACACCCCTAATCAAATTATATCTTATTTATAAAATTACTTTTTTTAAACAATTACTCAGAAACTTTTTAAAAAATAAAAATGAAACTCTTCTTGAATTCATGTAAAATCTTCCTGGATTGTCAAAATTATAAAAAATTTTCTTTAAAATTTTTTTACTGTCTTTTTCAGGTCGAACACATTTTTGATCCACTAGTTTTTTAGCAATAAAGTTCCATCTAACGACTGTCAATTTCAAACCACCTTTTATACAATATCAAATCTATACATTTATATTCATGAAAACTTTCGTAACAAGAACACATACATAGCAATTACTCTCATAATGAATTCTGGAAATCTTTCTATTTAATAGCCATATCCTCACCATGCTTTTGCCGTTTATGGAACTGAAGGTAAGCTTTCTGAGTAAAAGATTGGTCACAAAATTCACAAGAATATGGCTTCTCTTGAGTATGAACGACATAATGACGAGTCAGTGACGTCTTCTGATTAAATTTCCTTTTACAGATCTCACAGATATAAGGTTGCTGACCAGTATGTATTAGATAGTGCCTACCTAATATTGCTGATCGACTAAATGCTTTTCCACAGTCCCCAAATGTGCACACATAAGGTTTTTCCCCAGTATGTGTGTAAGTGTGTTCTTTCCACTGATGTTTCGTTAAAAATCTCCTTTTGCATGTTTCACATTCATACTGCTTATCTTGAGTATGTTGTTTATAATGCATTTTTAATTTAAAAGGATATTTGAACACTTTCCCGCAAACATCACATACATGCGGACGTTCACCAGTATGAATAATGAAGTGCTCATTCAGATCTGACTTTCTCCAAAAGGCCTTCTTACAAAAATCACAAATATAAGGCTTTTCTCTTGTATGAACACGTAAGTGAACATTGAGTTTATTTTTAGATGCAAATGTTTTAAAACAAATTTTACACTCATAAGGTTTCTCTCCTGTGTGAGTACGCATGTGTATTTTTAAAGAACTTTTGTGAGTTGAACTGAATTCGCATATTTGACAAGACCAAGGTCTCTCACCAGTATGAATTCGCATATGATGATTTAAAGATGATTTAGACGTAACTTTTTTACCACAAACTGAGCATTCATGTTTTTTTTCCCTTTGCATATTATTATGAATCGCAAGATGAATATTAAGGTCTTTGTTTCTCTTAAAAGTTACTCCACATATTTCACACTTAGGCATTTTCTTTGCTTTTGGGAGTGATACACAACTTTTCACCATTTCTTGCATCGTTGGAAATAATTTTACACCATGTACTAAATGATGGTGTACATATATTGCATCTTCATGAATAAAACCTATTTTGCAAGTGTTACATTTATATTCACATGGACAATTGTCATTATTCTCCTTTTCTATCTTCTCTTTATTATTCTCTTGATAAGAAGATTTATTACAAACTTGGCAACAAAATAACACAGCTATATTTACATGATTTTTAACATGTGCACACAAATTATAATAATCAATAGAAGAATTATTGCAAATTTTGCAACGAAAATTCCTTTGAATTTTACTGTTAGCAGACGAGTCTTGATCATTGGATTTACTTTCAGAATTTGTTACTGAATGAACACCTTGATTGCGAGATTTTCTATCAAAATTTGATGTGGAATGAATATCTTGATTGTACGATTCACCTTCAAGATTTGTAACTGAATGAACTGCTAAATGGCTCTTTAAAAACTCAGCTGAAATGAATTTTCTTTTACAAACATCACATTCAAATTTCAATTTTGTATTGTGATTTTCCATGTGCTTTCTAAAATTATGAAATCGAGCATAACTCTTATTACATTGATTACAAGTAAACCTTTTTACAGTTTCTTCAGTTCTGTTTCCTAATACTTCCTGAGAAACTTTGTTTGAATCTGAAAACCTTTCCCCAACTGGTATTTGCGTCAAATTTAAAACATTTTCATTCTTTAGAGAAGATTTTTCTTTTTCTAAAACTGGGACTTCACTCTTTTTAAAAGATACAACTTCATCACTAAAAAAAGATAATGCCTTTCCTGAATTTGAAGCAGTTTTTTCAGATAATTTTATGTTTTCTTTTGCCAGAGACGATTCATTTTCGAAAAACAATACATCCTCTTCCACTGAGGATTCTACTTCGACATCATCATTATAAAATAATCCGTGTTCTAAACTTAAAACCTTTTGTACGAACAATTCATTCGTACTATCTTTTCTAGATTTAACATCTTGCATTTTGAAGTAATTTTTAGTATCCGTAAACTGAACAGAAAGATGTATATATCGAATAAGTAAGTACCCCTTTCTTAATTTTCGTCGTAGTTATGATAAAAATCGCGTTAATTAAATAACAATTGAAATTTATCGCTAATATTTTCGATAACAAGATAGTTGAATTTGAAGAGACGGCGGTTTATTTCTATTTCTGCCCGACAAAAATCATACCGGACACTGCAACAGTACAATGACTGCCTATTCTTGTTTTGCTGAAGGTTTGATCCATAATGATTTAAGTTTGAATTAAGTTTAGTAACTGTAACCTTTCATTAATCTTGACGCTTGTTTTTATAAAATTGTAAGCAGTGATATTTTGTTAAAATTAGTTATGTATTCTTTCATATTATATAAGCACAGGTTTTTAGTTTATTTTGTTTTATAAAACTTACAACAATATTTTTAATCTTGGTGATTTCATTTACTGATTACCATGGCTTGCGTAGTATGTCATAAAATTTATTCACCCAATGATGATAAACAAGTTGATAGTGATGAAAAACCTCATCGGTGCACTACCTGCGGCTTAACTTTTACTTTTAAAATTCAGCTTAAACGCCACATAATTCTCCACGCCGATGGTGCTCCCTATACCTGTAAATACTGTGCGAAAGAAAATGAGAATAAGGGAAAAACTTATAATTTAAGATTAGGAAGTAAAAGCGAATATACTTGTGAAGTGTGCCAGAAAAGTTTTTCTAATAAACGAATGTTATTAAGGCATTCAATTCAACATACCTACGATGATGGTTATGAGGATGGTTTTGAAGAGAAAATTAAAATTACTATAAAGAAACGGGTTACATCTCATAATTCAAGAAATCTGTCCAAGAAAAACTCTGCAAGAGAACCTGTCAAGTTATCATTAAAAAGGCATTGGTCATCTAAATCTAAAACATTGACTTGTGATACATGCAATAAGGCTTTTGCTTATCAAGCATGCTTAGATAAGCACATCAAAATGGGAAAGTGTTCTACGTTATCGTCTTCTAAACCGAGTCCTAAGCATCTTAGTGATGATACCATTGAAGAAGAAGGTGATAAAAATCTTAGCAATTCTGGGGATTCAGAAAATAAAATCAATGACAATTCTGAGAAAACTGATGTAAAAAAGCATACGTGCAGTATTTGTGGAAAGACTTTTGCCCGTAAAAGTACTCTCGATGGGCATGAATTATCACATATTTTAAATAAAGAAACTAGTGAAGATGAAGAAAATCATTTCTCTGACAGTGAAGTAAGTGATGAAGAAGTTCCTGAACCAAAAAAGCCACGAATATCCACATTTAGGTTTCAAAAATCTTACACATGTGACAAGTGTAATTTTGTGTGTTTTTCTAAACAGACATTGAATAAGCATATGACTAATCATAAAGAAATGGTGTCGCAATCTTCTGAAGTAGATGAGGATTTACAAAATAGAAAAGAAAATTTTGACTCTTCAACACGAGAAAACCCATCGAACAATTTGGAATCTTTTAAAAAAGCTAGTGACATTTCTTTTAAATGTGAAAAATGTGATAAGAAATTCAAAAATGAAAACAAACTTCTAAAACACAGTTGTTTTAAAAAAGATAGCACAAAAATAAAAGAGATTCGAAAAAATCTTGTTTGTGAAATGTGTAATGAAAATTTTACTTCAAGGAAAGACTTAAAACATCATCTTTTAAGCCATGTTGATGGCAATACTGATGATTCGTCATTGGATAAGAAAGACAGTTTTATGAAGCATCGTGCAAAAAGAAGTAAAAATTTTGCATGTGACATTTGCGGTAGACGTTTCGCTGGCGAAATCTGCTTGAGAAAACATCAGCTAAAACATGAGGAAGATGCTGTAAGTTCTGAAACAGGAACTACTTCAACTACTCGAGGGAAAAAAGTTAAGCCAGTTAAAGAATTAGTGTGTGAATATTGTAATGAAGAGTTCACAGGCAAAAGATCTGCTTATATTAAACATATTCATGCTCATACTCCTGAAGTGTGTGGGATTTGTGATGAAAGATTTATTGATCGTCAAAGTCTTAGAGAACATTGTAAAATTCACGTAGGAACGGAAGAAGGAAGGATGTTCATGCAGTGTAGTCAGAAAGCTCTTGATGCTAAAAATGGACTTCTTGCTCCAGAGCCTAAAGTAGAGTATATTTATTTGGTTCTACGTTGAAATGCCTTTTAACATTTTCAGATTATTATTTTAATACTTGTAATTAGAAAGTAGTTAACTAACAACTTTCTGCTTTGCATAGCAATATTTGTTTTAGTAATGATATCTGATTTTACTTGTGTTGGTTGTCTGTAACAAATATTGTATGAGCTTTATGCTTAATCCAATGTCATTTCATGTATCATCATTAATCTGTGCATCACAAAATGAGATTGTTGAATCAAAATTAAGCATTTATCATGACTTTATTTTAAACTTGTAAATGTTTATTCACCATTAAGTGTAAAAAAAGAAGCACATGCTAGTATAAATTTAGAATCCAAAAATTAAATTATAATTCAATTCAGATACCTTACAGTATCAATTAAATTTTATTGTAAAATGAACTGCTCTAAAGATCGAATCTTCAATTGGTTAATGCCATAAATTAAGTTAAACTATAGAAATGTGCTAACAATGATAATGAGTTTTCTAGGCTAAATATGAATTACTAATTCTCTTTTGTTATCAAATTGTTATGTTTTAGTGTCTGATGTTTATATATATTTAGGTTATTAATTTTATGATTATTTTCATGATTGGTTTGTATGTTAAGATTTTTTAAATTAACTCAACTAAATACTGATGTAATTGAAGTGAAACATACTTTTAAATACATGTTTGATTATACTTTATTCTATAAGATAACTTTTAGTTCAAGTGAAATTTACATTAACAACTCAAAAGAAATAATGCCAGTTTTCAAGAAATATTTCCTTCTGAACCTGTTCAAACTATAACCGAACCTGTGTAAACTGAAATCACCAAGTGAAACTGCCTGGTTCTTGTACGTAAAATAAACTTTAAAAATATGAATATAGTAGCTTCGAATTTTATCCTTTGAAATTACCCTATTTCTTGATGATTTATTTTGTTTCTCATATGCCACCATCAGATTCACTAATACTTACTGACTATTTTGGCACAAGTACCAATATAGATATCTTTTTTATTGACTTTTCTATTCCATTCTTAGCCACTTTTAAAATCCAATGCAATTAATTACTTCTGTCTATGTTTGTAAACTAGTAAAAACAAGTACTTGAATTGCTTTATTTAAAAGAAAATAGCATTTTAAATCCCAAGAAATGGGCCTGGTTAAAGTAAATAGAAATGAAAACAAAATTCTGAATTTTATAAATAATAAACTTTAAATTTTTAACTGTTTTATATAAAAAAAATTTATGAATTTAAACTTTTAAGTTGTTGCATGAAAAAACATTCAACTCATTGAGTGTGTTACCAAGTTCTTGAATTACAAAATTAGTAACATTTGAAGAAAAAAAATTAATAGAAAAAGAAACAATGCAAACAGATTTTTTTAATTTAAACTTTCATTTGTTTTACTTTGAAATATGATGAATGAGTTAAACCTTGTTTTTTAAATTAAAATATATGATATCTTTAATCAAAATATTGTTTAAACATTTATTACCACTCACCTCATAATCATAATTCTGTCATTGTAACTCCAAAATAGATAAACAATTTCCGATCCATAATTTTTATGTTGATTATTTAAGGAAAAATAGTGCTGGCACTATATATGTAGGTTTATTTAGATATCTGTGCTAGTTTTTGAGAAACAATAATTAAAAATATAACTATTAAAGGGTCATTAAATAAAAGAAAAGTTGGAATAAAGCTGACTTTTGAAAAGTTCTGTCGCCACCATGAATTTCACCAGTCAATAAATACATTATAGTTTTATCGAAAAACATTTTATGAACATTTAATATTTCATTTATTTTAAAAGGGACAGATCAGCTCATTACTGTGTATATATTCTTCATTGAGTTCTGAGCATTAGAATTATTATAACTTATTTGTCTAAATTTATAGTGTTATGATGATATCATGATTTATTTAATAAATTTACCAAAGCACACATTTTAAAACGCAAATTAATATTTTCGGGTAATTTATCAGGTTTTTCAGGGAGTTTAAAAAAAATCTAGATTTTACTTCATTGGTTAGGTGGTGAATCCTGGAAGTCTAGAGTCATGGCATTAAAGAATGTAGTTTCTGGGACTTTTTCTTGAAACAAGGCATTTAACAAAAATATTTAAAGTTTATGTTTAAGTAATTTTAAAGTCTATATTTGTGCAAGTTGATAAATTGTAATTAGCAAAATTTATTGTTTGATTTTTTAAATTCTAAGAACTTTTATTGCCTAAAATTAGTTTCTCTTGATTTTAAAAAGCATAAAAAATATGCATTCATATTTTGTTTGAGAATTTGATCAAAATAGTTTTTTAAATGGTGGATAACTTGTAAATTATTGTTGTAAAATTATTTATTATCCATTGTTTTTTATTGAATTTATCTAAGCCAACATTTAGCACATTTGCAGTTATAGTAAGTTATCAACAGATTTTCATTATAAAAAGTTTTTTTTTTCTGCTACATATTTTACGAATGGAATGACTATGCTTTTGCTTTAGAAAAGACAATTGTTAGTAGTTTTATTTGTTTCATTACTAATAGTTTTTGTTTAATTTTAGCATTTAAAACTTTTTACTTTACTTTGTAATTTTAGAAATATCACAAATGTCAAAAACATTTTAACACCAAATTTTATTTATTTATATATTTTTTTTAAAAATAAAAGGAGAAGTTAATTTAAATAATTTTTTATTTTTATTGACACCTGTTTATTTTTTTAAAAGAAAAATCATGCTTAACAATGATATATATTAAAAAAGTTACTTGCAATATTTCTACTTATTACTTTTAATTATAGAATTCTACTAGGGGTCAACAGATATTTTCCATGAGAGTGTGAAAAGGAAAAAAAGTTTTTTTGATTGCAATAGTCTATTTTTTACTTGATTTATTAATTTTTTCGTTACATGTGTAAAGAATTGTAATAGTTATGTAAATTTGAAAACAATTTTCTTACAGAAAATATGAATGAAGAGTTTATACTTTAACATTAAAGATTAGTAGAGTGACTTTTTTTGTTTAAGCATATGGTTTGAAGTTCCTAAAGACAATAATTCATTGCGTATGAGAAATAATAAAAGCTTATTCTAGAATCTAAGTTTCATTATTAGATTGAATGGTATTAGGAAGACTTATTTGTTAATGTACTATTAATGATAGTAGCCCAACTATTATATATTATTAGACCTCAAACATCTTTTTGTTAATTTTTCTAAGACAAGATAAATTTATTAACTTTTGTTTTTCAATAAATAAATTTTTTTATTTTTCAAGATATGTTGAAATGAATATTTAATTCAGACATATAAACTTAAAGTAGAAATGCATGTGTTGATGCATCCTGCTAAGAAAATAACCATATTTACTCTCAAGAAGTTTTAAAATAAGCTCCAAAGTTCATCATCTAATAGGGCAACTGTACAACAATAAAACAATGTTTTAAAAATTAACAAATCTGTACAAATATTTCAGTTTGAATGGTCTGACATGCTGAAACATTGTTAAATAGTTTTTCTTAACAGCAGAACCTTTTGTTGATGAAGCTTCTTACTAATTTTGAAACTTACTGAAAATTAAAGTAGGTTTCCTTTAGCAGAATGCAGTAAACCATAGATTTTTATCTAAATCTGCTTTCCTTTGATTGATATTTCAAATTATTCATCATATTTTAGATACTTAATTTTAAAATCATACCTAACACTTTTTCATTTTTGCACTATCAGCATGTAAAAGTTGATTTTTGGAATAAAGAGATCAAAATCAATCTGAAAAAGGTTTTATTTATTAAATCTACTGTAGCAATAAAAAAATTAACATTTTGAATTTGGATTTTGCTCTTTGAAGTTTAGATAAGTAAATTGTAATGAAAAACTTATGCATCATAAAAACATTTTTTATAATTATTTGAACAAATAAAAACTGAAGCAAAAACATGAATAAAGCACATAAATGGCTATATTATAGTTTCAGTTCTATAAATAAGAATTTTCCTCAGTGTCTAAACTACAAATGAAGGCAGAGAAGTAAGGCGACAAACGTGTAAAGTGGCTTAATTAATAGGGACAGAGGAATTCCAAAATTTCCTTTCATAACACTTTTTTGTAATAAGTGAGTATATAATTAATTTTCTGATGCCTCCTAAATACCTGGTTTGTGTCCTGACATGATAAAATGTGTAAGTGTTCAACAAGATTAAGGCATATAATGTTTATGTATTTTAATGTTGTTGAAGATTAATTTTTTTAAACATACCTTTCTTTTACATTTAACTATTTAAATACTGAACTGGAAAATTTTTTATTTTATGAGAAAATTAAACTTACTTTATTTTTTATATATTTTCTGGAGAAAAAAAAGTGTAATTGATTTAATTTTAATGGTTTTATATATATGCATAAACTGGTAAAATTTATAATTACAGTCGAACTTCCGTAACGCAAAATATCGATTTTCATGAAACACAAGTTTGGTCCCAAAATATATTGTATTATACATAGTAAATTATTATTGTATTTTACATGTTAAACATGGGAAATCTTAACCTGGAAGTAAACTGGACACAGCATTGATAAGAAGAATGAGAATAAAGTGCCAATTGTACATTTTGAGCAATGCTATTTCTATTTTCCACCTAAGTTAGAAGAAGCAGATCAGCAAATGAATAAAATAGTTAAATAAAGTAATTAAAAGTAAGCTTATTTTAATTTGTTTGGTACATGAGAGTATTGTTTACATACATTAATGCAGTACATAATATGTATTAATAGTATATAATAAATTGTTTTCGCGATGTATTAGATAAGATGAAATCTGGTTAACATGACATAGTTATGATAGTCCCGCCAATTTCGCTTTAAGGAGGTTTGACTGCATATGTTTTTGAATCAATATGCAAAATTATTCATTTTAATATGCTTTTATGTAATAAATTTAATTTGATAACTTTTTTAGTTATAATAATACTAAGGATCTATTTCTTTAATGTGTTGTAATTATTACACTTAATTATTGTATTACACTTAATTATAATTATACCATAATTATTGTATTACACTTAAATGTCTCATTCAATGATGAAATTTTTAGTATCTGACTTGAATTAACAAGTTCCTAAATTGTGTAATGAATCTTTTTTCTCTTTTCACATGGAAAATTTAACTATAATGTGTGATGCTGATTTTCCAATGAAAAAAAGTGGTCTGAATTTGTATTGAAAGATTCCAGATTTATTTCTCCTTGTTTTATTGGCATGAACATTCTTTTTTTATTTAAAAAAATATATGACTAAAAGTTGATTTTGTTTTAATGGCAATAAAAATGCAATTTTATTTCTGTTTGATTTCGGTTGAGACAATTTTAGTTTTGTATACTTCAAAATGTAGTTACAAACCTTTTTGAAATACATTGTATGATTAATAGATTAGTATGTAGTTTAGTGTCATTTGTTTTAAAATGATCTAATACGACATTTTTATGACCTTGTTTTTTGTTACTCTTGAAAGTATCTTGAAATAAATCATATTATTTTCTTTTCTGTTTTTCTTTGCATTTGATACTATACTATGTGTGCTTGGCGTTTTTTCTTCAACTGCTGGAAAAAATAAATAGATATGACTGCTTAATGTCTAATATTTATATATTTTCTAAGTTATATACTTGGTATGTTATTTAAATGAACTTGCTATCGAATATGTAAATTTATGAAATAAAATTTTTTTTGTAAGATAATTAATTAATTTTTAAAGTTATTTAAAAATTAAGAAATTAATCTTTTTGACCCTGAACAAACGCATCGGTTATTTTATATCAATTTTATATTATTTCATTTTATTACCTATTTATACTTATTCTTTTCAATATTTTGATGCTCAGTCTGAAAACTATGTTATGTTGTTTCTTCAGAGCAACTAAAAATAGCACTTGTGAGTTATCCATTGAAAATTAAGCTATAAATTTTTCTGAAAAGAATTTCTTCTCTGAGGAAAAAAATTTTAAATGTAAGACATTTTCTTTTTAAGAGTGTTTCAAATTTTGATAACAAAATTAGAATTACAAACACATTTTTCTGGTGCACCAGTTCGAGATGGCACACCTTAAAAAATAGGTGGAAATGACAATATATACGGAGAAATTTATATCCTGAATGCTACACACCTAACAATCAAAATATTTTTGAATGTAACCTTACGAACCTTTTTTAGATTATGTTAGTCAAGAGGTGCAACATTAACTGCAATCTTAGTAAATGCTTTTCAAATGAGGTATACATCAATTAACTTTTTTTGTTAAAACAAAATATGGTATTTTAAGACTATTAGGTATCATGACAAATAGGTAAATCGATCTGATGATCCCCTGATAATTATCCTAGCTTCCGGAGATGAAGCAGGCTTGAGTTTAGTGTTAAATTATAGTTTAATTTCAAATTATCAAACTATATTTTGTTTAATGTACGCATATGTTTCTAGATATAATTTTATTTTAAACTCCGTTTTGAGTTTGTGCTTATAGTGCCTTCTGCAAACCAGAATGTAATAAACACGATCTTCTGGTTGTTTAATAAGATATATTCAATACCAGACTAATTTCTCTGATGGATTTTCCATCTTCATAAAGTGCCTCTATTTTCCTTTTAGAATGTCGGAGCAGTGTCTATATATCTCTTTATCCTAATTGTTTTGCAGAACGTTTCGAGTCTGGTAACTGCAAAATTATGTTTGGTGCTTTGGAGTTCTAAGAGCATGATTAGGTTCTCTCGCATTCGACTTGAAGTTATAAATGTCTCTCTTGAAATGTTCTAGTCTCCATCTCCCGAAATTAAACTGTCTGTTTACTTTATTTTCCGACCAATTATCAACAATATCTAGAATTTATTTTTGTATAAGATACACAGGCTGTTTTTTAGTAAAGTTCGCTGCCATTTTAAACTCGATGTGGGTTGACAGACCACGTGGGAAATGAAGATAGAGTAAAATTGGAAATAATTGGGGTGACTAAACCGGTTTTGGAATGTGGCTATAGTCAGCAATTTTGAGAAGGTACTGATTAGGACATTATTCACTTTAAAGGTTAAAAATGGCTATCAGTTCAAGATTACACTAGACAGCTAAATTCATTATAATAAACATCAAACCACCCACATCACCTCCCTTTTTAAAAAAAAAAAATATATATCAAAAATGCAGGAGCAATAATCTCAATTTTTATCAGTTAGAATTTAATGGTTGAAATAGCTTTGATCTAGTTTTTGTAGTGCAAACAAAATAGCAGAACTTAACAAAAACTGTCCTGTAAATCAGGTTTATAAGTTAATGAAACTATAAATGTGATAGAAAATTAATGTAAGTAAACTGCTTTTTCATAAAAATACAATTTTAAGTTAATGAAATATTTCATTTGTACTTGTATCATAGGTAGGAATTAAGATAATTTAGTCACTAGTCTATAGGACCAGCAAATAAAAGATATTGCCAGTCCATACACATTTTTACTGTTGCGGTTCCAAATCTTTATTGAATCTTTAAAAAAATTGATAAAATGAATTTAAATGAAGAATTACCCCTTACAGAAATTATGTAATATTCACAATTATGATGCAATATGGTATTTTGTGACAAACAGTATACCATTCCTTTTCGTGGATTGTTGGTTAGTGTTGATCACTGATAATTTATTTTATGGTTTTCCAAGTCCTATTTTAATGGTCTCTGATGGTCAATTTTAATTTAGAGCCTTGTATATGTCCATGTATACCTTATTTTTTAGAAAAATAGGTCTTGAGAATGAAAGAGGCTTAGAAGAAAGTTTTTAGATTTGTTTTGGTTGATAACTGGTAAATAAAATATAACTATGAATTGTATAAAACCTATAATAGTGAGGGTATTACTAAATGGAATAGAATGAAATGACCAGGATCTCTGAGAATTAATACACAATACTGAACGTCTGTTATGCCAATTTTTTCAGAACAAAAGAAATATCTAAAAAGCGATGAAAAAATTGCCCAGGAGACTTTGCCATGCTCTAGACAAAAAATTGGTGATCAATTTCTAGGAAATGTTGGATTAGGAAAAGATTAAACAGGAGGGCACAAAAGGAACTTTCGAATAATGACAAATAGATGCCAATAGACAGAGTGATGCCTTATTTATGAGCTATGACCAGACGTATTATGTACGAATATGTAAAAGTAATGAATATTTATAGCCGATTTTCCCTCTTAAATCACTTCTGTTTAATAAAGCATAACAAAGACTTAGTTCACAAGAATATTTTATTTAGTAAGAAAGAATGAATAATTAAAATACAATTTCTCATGGGTACAATTTTATACATAAAAATGATGGACAAACCAAGTAAGAAAAAAATTATATTTTTATGCACTGAAATGCAGATTAAGTAACACTATAAAAAAATATCAACTACATTTAAAAATAGCTTAAAAATATAATCACAGTAAGTCTCACATGATTAAATAATTTAAATATGCAGCAAAAAGAAAAAAATTATTATAAAGAGAAAATTAAGAATTGTTTAGCTTTTTATTTTCTTTATTACTTTTGTTGATATTTAAAAAGTTAAAATTAACCTAATGTGGCCAGAATTTTTGAAATTAAACCACTTACCTTAAGGTGGTTTAATTGTGAAGTTCACATTAGGAGAGTTTAATACTTAAAATAGCAACTATAAAACAAAATCGAACCACATATTTGCAGTTAAAAAATTTTCTTTAAAAAAAATGCATATGATTTTTATTCAGGAAGAAAAATATGCATAATTAAGTTATCCCACTGAATTAAACATTCATTTTTTAATAAATGAGCAGATAATAACATATAAAGATATAGTCCTAAAAATAAATCCATCAACTAATTTCAAAACAATCTCCTACTAATTATTACTATTTACAAAAAAACTCTATTTTATTTTATAAACAAATGTAAGTAAAAAAATTTACAAAAATTACAGCATTTACATAACTGAAATAATTTCAATTTCAGCAACACTATTTACCCTGTTTACAGCAGTAATTCCTTATGAAGAACAATTAAGACTATTTTTAACAAAAATAGTTCAGTTAATTATGTAATATAAATAATCACATTGCAAAAAGAAGAATATTAAAAATAAATTTTACTATACAAAGTAACTTTAAAAAAAATTGAAGGAGGAGGAATATTTCATTACATTTATACATAAAGAATAATATGTACAATGTTTTTTTGCTACAAACTAAAAAGTTTATAGCTTATAGCTAAAAGGAAATATTTTTATATTTCCATTTTTTTCATTGATTGAAATTAAAATTTTATATTAAGAAATAATTAATTACATAAGTTTAAAAATAATTAAAACAATAACTTTTTATTGAAATATATTTTTAATCACTAATAAAATAGTATTGTTTAATAGCAATAGAATAATAAAATAGCATCACATATTGGAATTAGAATTGAAAATTGTAGTTCATATTTTGTTACTCAACAACGTAAGTGATTAACTTTATTTCGGTAGAGCCAAATGAAAATATTACTATTATATTAACAAAAGGTGATTATTTGAAAAAAAATCCCTACATCAGGAGATTGTTATTTAATTAAAACATAAAGGTAAATTAAATTTAAAAAATATATTTATCACAAAATAAATATTAAAATTTAGCCTAATTAGGAAAAGTTTTATTAACACTAAGTAGTAATTCATAGTAAGTGTAAGGTATGTTTACGTAACATTGAATTTATCATTGAAACTCTTATCATTGAATTTTAATACTTAAAACTTCTTCTGAAGTACATTTGCAAAACATTTCTTTAGGCAGAAATGTATTTTGATCACCCAGTTTGAGAAGGGAATGTCAAGAAAATCAAACGAATAACTTTCTAGACGAGACAATTATATTTTATAATAATTATAGATACAGTAAGACCCACTAATAACGATCCAAAATTCAATAAGGGAATTGGACTCTTTCGTTTAGCTCACTATAAATGTATCAAAGTGCAATTTTTTTTCACTTGTTCCCAGATATAATAAAGAAATGATTCTGAAAGCATAAAATTATATCAAAAGTAGTGAAAAAAAATTATTAAAATAAAAAATGCACATCAATCATTTAAAATTATTAAAATTCTTTTGATACATAATAATTGCAAAATATACTTTGGTACAGGAAAAAGCAAATGAATGTAGTGAATTGGAATAAGAAATTTTGCTTAAAATATTGATAAGTACTAGTGCTGTAGATTCTTTAGAAAACCTTTAACTTTTCTTTAAAACTATAGAAAATACACATGAAAATTTAAGTTAGGGATCTTTAACCATTTGCATTAGCAAACATTAATAAATTCTTGATATCTTTTAAGCCACACATCAGACAAATCAAATCAGTCAAGGAATCAGGAGTGAAACACAGCAAATTTTAGCATGACTTCCCAAATTTGGTGAATTCTAATTATGTTATTATTTGCTATAAACTTAAGTTAAATTAGACCAGAATCAATTGATTTTTCTATTTTTTTATTGCCTGAAACATACAAAATATATCAATACTGAAAAACTTATTACATCAGCAGTACTCCAGTACAAAAATTATATTAAAAAATAATGAATACCATTTTAGGCTTAATGTGAAATCTGCAATATTGTTTCAAATATTTGCAGTTGCAATTCTAAAAAAATTCTTCAGATGCTGATCTGCCATTCAACTTTTTTTGAGTTTTTGATCCAAATCAGTGTCTGTTAGTTGATTTATCATTTTTATCTCAATAAAATACAAAGAAAACTACGTCATCAATTTATTCATAGGCATCAGCTTCAAACTTTGCACTACCCATTACCATCTAAAACAATTTTTACTTAACAGTCTTTCTCCGTTTTTATGTAACTATTCCTTTGAACTCAATGAGATAATTCGGAGAAATACTAAATTATTATCACTGGTGGACTAAGTAGAATCAAAGACCTCTAATTTAATGCATGATAGTGTTACAAACGAAATTAAATGAAATAATCAACAATCTAAGTAATCAACATTTCATAAATAACAACATATGTTTTTTTTCTCACTAACCTTAAATTCAGATTAAGCGGTAGGTGTTATTACAAAGTTTTTCTGTTTCTCAAGCTCCTCCGTAAATATGGGTCCTACTGCATGAAGAAGAATTTTATAATTTACTCTTATTCTTTGAAATTATCAAGTCAGTAGTTTTGAACCAATACAAGTATAAAAATATTGCCTTTAAACAGAGGGTTGGTTACTATATTCATGGCTTCCGAAAGTTTACACATTGTTTAATAACCTAATGCAAAAATTTATGATGAAAAATGTAACCAGTTTAAGCAATGCCAACTTTTTTTTCTTCCTTTAAAAAAAAAAAAAAAAATTCTGGTTAGCCTAGGTAAAATGTACACATCTGTAGATAATAAATTGCAAAATGAAATGGATATTATATGCTACTTATTTTTTTAAGTAATTAATTTTATATGATAAATCAGATACAATAGAATTGAAGGCATTTCAATGGCCAAATGCTTAAAATAAATTAAGCAAGAATCTGCTTATCCTGATATATTACTTTTAAAGGGGAAAAAAAGACAATAGTATAATTCACTTAGAGAATTATAACAAAAATAAAACATAATAATTTATACAATAAATAAAAAAAAATGAAGCTATCACATTTTATAAATTCTTGCTTTCACTCCAATGTAAGCAAGTAAAAATTTAGCCTCTAAACTTCATATTCAGTAGAATTTCATATTCTACATGTCCATTGATCTTTCCATAAGGTTTAAATAGAATGAATGCAAGCCGTGTTTCTTTTTTATCTTTGAAGAGGCAAGTTTTTTTTTTCTTTTTCTAATTCCTTACTTCAATTTGCAGCAAGCAAGGTGCCTCAAAAGAAAATTTTCAAACTAAATTGATCTGTTCATTAGCAATACTCTTAGGAAACACCAGCTCCTTCATTACTGCTATTGCCATCTCCCTTCAAATTAATTATCTCATTCACATCAGTCATCTATAACAAAAGAGAATCAATATATTATACTACTATATTTACTTTGTGGAATATTTATCAAAAATTTTTTTTAAGGAAAGAGAGATTTACAACATGTAACAAATTGCAATAAAGTGGCAGACTAGAAATGAATTAATTTTTTACAAAAAGGTAAAGTAAAGAAGTGTTCAAAAAATAAAAATCACAGTCTTGTACAAAGCAAATTTTACAAAACTCTATAAAATTACATTTTATTAAAAAAACAGGGTTGCCACAGAAAAAAATGAACAAAATAGTTGCTTTTAGTAGCCTAAAACATGAAAATAGTAGCCAAAAACTAGGAAAATAGTTGCCTAAATAAGAACAAAAATTCATAAAAAATATGACTAAAATTTTGTTAATGACTTAATTGTCATATACCATGATCCCTTCAGTCAAGTTGGTGGCAAATATAATAATTTTTATGAAAGCGTAAATGTTTATATGTATGAAAAGTGATTACTCAAATTCGAAATTCCCGCATTGTAATATCGTATTAAAATTTTTATTTTTCAATCATGCGGAATTTTGTAGCAATAATCATTGAAAAGGCCATCGAGAAATGAAATAGACTTACAATGGAGTCTGTGCAGATTGAACGAATTAAAAAGTGAAGAATCAAATTTGCATTTCAAAATTTTCAAAGTTTTTTATTTTTTAAGAAAAAAAAGTTCAGTATGTTCAGAAACTATCTTGTGGGGTGCAGATCTTCCACTCAATTTATGCTTTAAAAAAAAAAAAAAAAAAAAAAAAAAAAAAAAAAAAAAAAAAAAAANAAATGAAAAAAAAAAAAAAAAAAAACTTTGCTAGAAGTTTAGAAAAGTTTCCCAATAGTCTCCTTTTCATGAAAATAGTTGCTTTTTTAGCCTTTTCAGGCAAAAAAAGTTGCCATAGTCGCCTTATGCCAAAAATAGTTGCAAGTAGTTGTCTTTTATTCGCCTGTGGCAACCCTGAAAAAACAGAATATGAAGTATGATAATCTTAAAATATATTAAAAATTAAAAGACATTGATAAAATTGAAGCTTTACTGCATTCCTGAAAACATAGTAAATCAAACAATAATTTAAAATTATCTATACTTTTGAAAAATAAGCTTTGAGAAAAAAGTTTATGCAATCAAATTACTAAAATTAAAAAGATATATATCCCAAATGCAATGCAATTTCTATTTGGCATAGATCTAAAACTCAAAATCACAGTCATAAAAAATAAAAATTGTGGACCGTAGCATATTAAAAAGAGAGTACTTAATATGCTTTTCAGAAATGAATCATTTGTATATCAATAATAAAACACTTGTAAAATTTTTGTTTGCATAAATAACTATATTTAATGTATTCATTTATGCTGGAAAAGCTTCATTGATTTCCTTTAAATAATTATTATTAAGACTAAGCGCTTTCAAATTATAGTAAAACCCCAATTATTATTATTTGAATTTATGGGCAAAATCCCAAAATAAAAAATTCACAGCAATAAAAAAAAATTTTCTTTCTATAGTTGAAAGTTCTTATTTACATTAACAAAATGCAAAAATTGTTTTCAAACACTTCACATGATCTAGTTTCTGACAAAGAACTCTTTTCTTCACTATATTATCAACCATAAAAACAATTTATACACAATTTTAAATGTATTCAGTACAAAGTGTCTCATTCCATTTTTTAAATTAATTATTACTTCATTTAATTCAGTAAAAAATTTTTTAATCAAATTTATGATTAATTTAACTATTATATAAAAAGTTTATCAAGTGCATTCTTAGTTATTCATAACAGCTTTAACAATATTAATATTATTGATCATACTGAATTTACAAAGATATGTAGGGAATTAAGCAAACTAAGAAAACTTTAATAAATTCATATTACAAATGTAGATCAGTGAATGGCCCCAATAAATTTTTATTAAAATTTGCTACTTGGTTCAGTATTTCTTTAATTCAATGAATAAAAAAATAATAATAATAATTTTGAAATGAAATACGAGTATTGAAGCTAAAAAAAATTTTACCATAAGTAAATTATTACAGATTCCTGACACCCACAATATTTAAGAAATCTTATAATTGAATTCATTTCAATTGTTTTTAAATTAAATCATTAAGAGATGAATCAAAGTTTTTTGGAATGACAAATCTGAATAACATTAAGATTTTTGCTGCATTTAAAATATTGAAAGCTGCTCGCTTCATATATTTTTAAAAATCTTGCTTCTAAACATTAAAATTTTTTCACAAAACAAATGAAGAGCACTGGAAAGTTTAAAAGTAATAATAGAATAATAAAAAGTAATAATAGAATAATAAAAAGTAATAATAGAATAATAAAAAGTAATAAAGTACAATAAAAGTTTTACAAAATTATTCAATTAGTGGATGGTCCTTCAGGTAAAAGTCTCATTCTTAAAAAATTTTGTTAATTCTTATCTTTTTTTAATTAAATGGATAAAAGAGGGATGGACATTTTGAGGTGATGAAGCTTCATGATTCTTGACTGCTCTGGAGATCCACATGAAAATGCGTAATTAGAAAATTATCCCTAAGTCAAGTTCAAAGATTATGGTACTGATAAATAGAATAACATGAGAAGGCTATAACATAAAATTGTGATAAATAAGGGAAGCATTATCGAGATATGTCCTTACAATATTAATCCTGATTCATGATCCCGAAGTCAAGTTCAAAGATTATGGTACTGATTAATAGAATAACACGAGAAGGCTATAACATAAAATTGTGATAAATAAGGGAAGCATTATCGAGATATGTCCTTATAATATTAATCCTGATTCATGACCATATCTTTAACCAATTTATAAGCACTTTTTTTGAAAGATGTAAGAAATTTCAGAGTTCTCCCTAAGAATAAAAAAGGGCAGGGCACTTAACATCAAAAATATTTATCTAAATGTGCAATATTATGTAATAATAGAATATTATGCTCAACAATTTTTAAATTATTCTCTCAGACTATTTCATGAGTATATTTCAAATGGTAAATAATAAAATAAAAATAATTAAATAAAAAATTTTTAGTTTATATAAATAATTAATGGCATGTTAAAAAGCAATCCCTGTGCATATATATATATATGTATATATATACATNCAAAGCATATATATATATATATATATATATATATTAAAAAAGTAACCCCGCAAAAAATGATTAATAGAAAAAAAATTCGAAAGCTTTTTTCGATAATCTAAACTGAAAATTATGAGAAAATCAATATTTAAAGATGCATTTAAAACAAGATTGTGGGTATAATTAAAAAGATTGTACTTTTAAAAAAATACCCTAAAAAAAAATACTCATTAAAATTTAACCAGTTGAGAATATTCCTAACAAAGTAAATATTTGCAGTAGTAATCAGAAATAAACCTATAAAAACAGATAATTTTACCAATGCATAATTAAAAATTTAAAAAAAATGAATTATTTTTTTTTCAAAGTGGAATCTCAATAAAAAGGCAGTGTTTTTAAGAGATGGCGACTTACTTTCACAAAAAGGGGAAAGAGGGCGTACTTATTGGGATCAAAGAGCACGCAAGGCAAGCTGCCCTTAAAAAAAAAATTTAAAAAAGCCCAAGGAGAACACTGAAACTTAAATATTAAAAGTGGCTTACTTCTGTTGAATATCCCTGATATTGAATTTTGTTATCAGTAAGATTACAAATTTTGATCAATTGTCCATTACTTGTTTGTAACATTTCAACTGCTGAAGTATCCTTAGGAATGTATTCAGTCATATCAAGAATTTGTCTACTATTTCGAGGAGGTTGAGCCATCGTTTGGGGAGTGTTCAAATGGCAATCCATAGCACCATTTAAACAAGCATAAATAACAGATCTTCTGTTTTGAATGTCCACTAGCTCACTTGTAGCAAGTCGATAGTGTACACTGGGTGGTAGATGGCGTCTAAGGAAAAAATAGATAAATATTTACAGCTCTAGCAAATAAACTTTGAATTTATTTTAAAAATTATTAAATACAAATCATTTTTATATAATACTGTTTAACTAATTGGCAGATATAACATAGAGTCAAGGACAATTTGCTTGTTCTATTTATGTCTTCTCTATATTGAAGACATGTGCTATGGTGTGGCAGAAAGGAGTTTAAGCAAATGTTTCAAATAAGCAAATGTTTCCATTTGTTTTAAGCAAATGTTTCAAATGCAAATAAATTTGCAAAAAATTATTAATGCTGTTGTCAGAAGAAAAAACTAATCCAAACACTAAAATATCTCAGTGACAGGATACCACATCTAGGGAAATTAGTATTGTTTTATGCTAATTCAAAAGAAAAATTTAGATTCAGCTACCAGATGCTTTGGAGGTTTATATTAACATATATTTGTGAACAAATGTTGTCAAAATTGTAAAGATATGAAATCATAATATTATTTAAGATTAAGCGATATATTCTGCTAAAATTCTTATGAATTCTGCTAAAATTGTCAAGAATTAATCAAAGTATAAATAATTATAAAATGATAACTTAATAAATAGTAAAAAATTATTTTTGCATTGAATTATGCTTTCATAAATAAGTTTTACAAGTGTGCAAATATTTGATTCCCCTGTATAATTCCAAATATAAGGCAAAATACTCAAAAAGAGAAATAAACAGTGAAGGAATGAAGAAAAAAAAGTGTGTTCATTCAAAAAAGTAGGTTTTTGTGTCTGGTTTCATATTCCCTAATATATTCGTTGCACAGCTTATTCAAGGTTAGAACTTCAAGCCAATAAGATTATGATTATATGCTAATACTTGCCTAAAAAAATAATCAGATCAGAAATTATAAACAAATTCTTTTTTGTGCATGTTTGAGGATTAAAATTACAGTTATCTCTAAGAGAAAAATAAAGATGGAAAAAAAATGAAAAAAAGAAAAGAAACTATGGCAAAATTCAATATTTAGAATTTTTGAAAAACATAATTTTTAAAAGTACTAAAAGCAAATAAATAGATTAAATCTGTATAACATTGTTTTTTAAAGAATGTCTATGATTAATATTAACTAATAGTTTACTTAATACACTTAATACTTACTCTAATATTTCTTTCTCTTTTTGAAGATTATCTAACAGTGCTTCTTGCAAAGTATACTTCCTTTCAAATTGGATGTTCATCTGTAAAAATTTAAAACAATGCAATTATGAAGTATATATATATATATATATATATATNATTGACTATATATATATATATATATATATAGTTCACACAAGCAATGTAAATCTAGTGGTCCAATAGGACCTCCTAGGTATTCATTTAGTGGTCCAAAATATTAATATGGTAGACAAATGTAAGAAAAATGGAACTTTATAATTACATAATTCATGTTATGGTACGCATCAAAAATTATAAATTACCATCTATAACACCTTAAAACTAATTTGGTTTCTTAGCTCATAATGATTGAAGATTAGTAGTAATTAAGATTAAGTGTAAAAGAGCTAAATAGATTTCTTCTGACAGCTCTTTTAATGTGTGCTAATTTTTATGGCATTGAGTGTAACTCTTAACTTTTATGGTATTAATTAAACAGCTTTTGCCATTTTCATAATGTCATTTTGTTTCGACAGTACTGCAAAAACTCAAATTTTGGTTTAGAAAATATAAATTTTTATTTTTTTTTTTCAATGACGGGCACTTGGTACCATTGCCCATTGGCCATAGAAAGTGCCAGAACTGCTAACTTTCTTTTCGTTACCCAGTGGGCACCCGTGGCTAAGCCACGGCGGTGGAGCAGTGTCGCTCACGTCACACTACCACAACCCGTTTATAGGTCGGGTCACATTCACACACAAAGGAGAAAGAACATAGAACACAGATAGAGAGAAAGAAACATCCATGTCTTGTCTGGGATTCGAGCCCGGAACCTTTCAGATGCAAGGACAGTTACCTGCCCCCTACACAGGCCGGTCGGCAGAAAATATAAAATAATTAGGAATGAAAACATGTATTGTCTGTTAATTTGTTTAATTATTGAAAATAAAAATACAAAAACAATAATTTTATAAAAGAAAAAACACTAAATCATCTTATTCATTATGTGTAAAATTAAATTTAATTTATTCTCATTTTTACTCCACCTTTCCCCGAAGCATGCGATTAAAAAGAAAATAGTTTCAAATCCCTCTGTACACCATGTAAATTTTTCAGTTTTGGAGGAATTAAACTGACATTTCTTATACATTTCTAATACATTTCTTAAGATACTAATACTAATACATTTCTTAAGATGCTGCTGAGCTGTATGGACAAGAATGTAGACATACCAAAACTATTATAACTTACTAAAATAAAATATAATAAGGAAGTTTATTCCAACTGCATAAAATATTAAAAATCTTTGAACTGATTGATTGAAAAAGAACATTAACCCATTTAAACAAACACTTATATTATTTGTAAATTGTAATCAGTTTACTTAGCAAGGAACACATCAATTCATAATCATGATTTATTGTCAATATTCACGTACATATCACAATTAATAACAAATATTGAGAATAAAAAAATTTTCTAAGGTTATTTGCAGCCACTTTAGTTTCACTTAATCGGAAAAAATCTGACTTAATTGTGATATGAAAAAAAAAATCAATATTTAGATTGATAATAATAACTAACAACTTATAATTATTCCCTGCCTTAAATATAAGATGAAACTGAATGGTTAAATAGCAAATATTACTGATTTTAAGGTATTAATAGTACCATGTTTTTAGAAAAAACAGTTAATAATTTCAATAATTTTAGGTGTATTTTTTATCAATGATATATAAATAATATAAATCATAATTTATAATGCAAGTATTGTGCATGATTTAACATCTAATAAAATGTTCTGAATAATAAAAAAACTTATCCCAGGTTTTTGACACTTTTTAGCAGGTTTTTGACATCAAAACCCAATCTTGTTACAGGTAACAAAAAACTTAATTTGTGGCACCTTTTCACTAAATTATGTGAGCAGAGATTCTGTGTTAGTTATGAGAGCAAAGAGTAACAAGTTGATTTAGGTTAATTATAAGGGGCTAAATTTGAGCAAAAAAAAAAATATGAGAGTAAGAGAACTTTTCAATAATTTCAAGAGTATGAAAAATTAAAAAAAAAAAAAAAATAAATAATGTTAGTTATTAATCTATAATTCATAATTGGTTCATATTAGATTAAGAAAGGAAAGAAAAAAAAACTCCTGGAATAAACAGAATTTTCCAAATGCTAGTCATATTTCAGGATTTTTTATTAATTTTTCCAGAGATTTTAAACAAATTTTATTTATCCTGAATTTCTAAGTTATTCCTGAAGCATCTGAAGCATAGCAAGATAAAATGTTTAAAACTTACCAGAGTTAGTTTATGCTTTTCTACAGCTGATGAATTTTTATAATCACTCAATTCTGTTTTCATTTCTTCAAGACGTTGTGTAAAGTGAAATCTTTCACGCTCCCAGCTCTGTTTCAATTCTTCAATTTTTTTATCATTCTTAACTCGTAACTGTAAAATATAATGCAAACAAAAAATTACACACACTGGTTTTTGGAAATATACACACTCACTATACAAATATTATATTAAAAGTTAAACTATTTAGAATGTGCATGAATCAGCGAATTCCGGATAAACGAGAATTGTGAAGGCTTGACAACAAAAATCTTGGTTTATTATAAGTAGTGTTGTACATAGAAAGGAGAACAAGGGGAAAAAATTCTAAAAAAAAGATACTTAAAACTGTGAAAAAAATTTAAATAGTTGAAAATAAAAAAAAATTAAGGATTAATAAGAAACAGTTTAAACAGGAAAAGAATTTGCAAATTGGAAAAAAAAAAAAGAAAAAAAACCTATGAGAGATAAGTAGAGTTTAACTCTCCTCCATGAGAGTTTAACTCTCTTGCATAATTACCAACCATCTCTTTCAATTATTAAATGTAGTTTGACAATGCAAAGCAGCCTTTTTCTTCTTTTCTTCATATGAAAGATCAAGAGATTTTTGTATCTATAATGTCTCTATTTAAATATTCATTTTCCCATTTTAATCATATTTAATATTCCTTTTTCCTGTTGCTATTTCACTTTCTGCAAGATATCATCAATCACACTACGATAATGAATTATTTACATGAATTACCTAATTTATTGAGTTATGAGTTACCGTATTTATTTATTATTCATTATTTTGCTTGTGTTCTCTTTCTTTTAAAGCAATCATTCCTTTTTTTTTTAATCAAAATCATTAAGCTGGATGGAAAAAAAATGTTTAGTATAAACTAAAATAAAACAAAGGTTTCAGATTATCCTACATCTGTAACAATCTAATGAAATATTCATTTTTATGTATAAAGAACAAAAATAAAATAAAACATTATTGACGGCTAAGAGTTAACTCATCCTTGTACTTGCATTATCTATTTGGAGTTTTGAAAACAAGGGCAATACAGAATATTAGCACATTGTGAATAATATTTTGCACATTGTGTATCAAAAATTATTGTTTCTGTGTAAAATTCACAGTTAACTAAATGTTATAATTTTTTTTTTTTTTTTTTTTGGAATGGGGAAATGGTTTATAGTTAACAGGTGGAGAGAAAAATTACTTTTTTTGTATGATTTTCTAAACTGCCCAAAAAGTTTTACTAAATTAAAAAGTTTATGTTTGGGAAATATAATTTTATATATCAAACTGTACTTCACAAAACAAGTCAATTAAAACATATTATCTTAAATAATATTATAGTAAAAAAAAATATCTTAAATTGTTCAATTTTATATCCTGATTAAATTTAAAATACGCATTTTTTTTATACACTTGAATTTTTTTATTTTAAACTAAGAATTCATGCACATGCATCCCTAATTATTAAAAATTTGTGTTTGTATGCACGCTAATTACTCAACACCAATTTGTTTCAAGTCAAAACTGAAAACCCCTGTTGTTTGAATTTATATTGATTCTAAAACTTATCAGAATGTTTTCAAATATTTTTTATCATTTCAGCTTACATTATTTGTATATAATATTCAAAAAATATTTTTTTTAAAGTATTATAATTATTTAGACCACAGTAAAAAGATATCTGCTTTACATAGTTTTTTACAAAAAATTATACATATAAATAAAATTAAATGCAAACTAAAAAGAAAAAAAAACATGTAAAAGCTTAGCTCAAAAATTAACTGAACTTTTTAACATAAGTCTTGTGCAAATATTAAAATTTTATATGGGTAAGTAAATATAAAAATATCACCAAATACAAAGGTAGATTCTCCTTTGTAGCAGTATGTTGAACTTTAGCCCTTTCAAAAATATTATCAAATATTAGACTATGGGACACTGAGCAGAAAACCATTTCTTTGATTCTCAACTTACTAAAGTGTCTAAGTTGCAATACTTACAATACTTAGTTTGGCCAAAGGTAGATAATTGTGTGTTGTGAAAGTAAAACTAGCAACAAAAAAATTAGTTTCCAGCTTCAAATTTTATATATATATATATAAATTTGATCTAAATCAAGAGTAGTAAAAGGTAGAGTGGTTTAGTCACCTGAAGTCACTACCATACAAGAGTACATAATATACATGTAGCAAACAATGAACTGCTAAAAAAAAATTTTTAACATAAGTGCTTACATTTCTTTGTTCAATAAGAGTAGTGGTGCTATTTTCTAATTCTTCAACTCTAGATCTAAGATTTCTAATTTCAGCTCTGTATTCTTCATTTTCTATTCGTAATGGACCAACTTGTCCAGTTAATTTTTCAATTTGTCTGTTTAAGACTTCTATGCGACCAGTTAAAATGGATATTTGTTGTTCAGAAGCTCTTAAATACTCATCACGCTCATCTATAGGAATTTCTCTAAAATAGTAAAAAACCATTTTAGTAAAAATTATAGGGAAATGGCACCTAATGCAATATCAAAAGATTATAAAAAAACTAAATTTTTCCTTTAGATGTTAGGATGCTCAACTCCAATATGCTATTTATTTTATTACAACACTTGAACACTTGTTACTTACTGATTTTGAGGCTCAAAATCCACACTTATCAGAAAATGGATTTTAACCATTACCATCTATTTTTACTTTTTTTACATTGTCTAGATAATGTTTGAAATGTCAGCCAAGTTTCAGTTTGGTAACAACGAAAAAACTATAAGGAACGATTATTACCTTGCACTGATTACACAATATAAATTTTATCGCTAAAATAAATACTTGACATTAAAAAAATATTTCTAAGAACAATTTTAATGCATAAAGGAAATTTTTAAGAAATTAAAATTAAAAAAATAAAATACAAAACAGCAGACAAATACTTCAACAGTCTTAGATACAGCCTTGTGATCGGAAGATGCAAATCGCAGCACTGAGATGCAAATCACATCACTGAGAAGTGAATTGCAACACTGACTATACAAATGACTTTAAAATAAATAACATATTTAAACCCAGATAATCCATAAGAAAAGTTTTGTAGCATATAAAGTTTTCATGATGCTCTAATAAAAAATATGTAAAGAAAGATAAGTTCAATAACTTCATAAATTTTAATAACCAGTCCTCATTAACTTGCAATTTTAGGCATTTTTCCCAACTGTAACCAGTCCTTATTTTCTTCCAAATGGAATATTGTTTTTCTTTTTTTTCTTCTTTCAAACATTGATAGAATGTAATTATTTTTTAAAATGTTGGCAGATTTTTCGAAAAATGCTAGAATGGATGTTATTAACAATAGTATCTAAATAAGTATTATTAACATTATAAGAAAAGCATTGATAACAGGGCTGCTAAAATAAGATACACAAAAGACGAAACGGGAAAGCAAAAGATGTGTGAAATATGGTTCAAAGTTATACTGTACCAGATTTGGTATTGCTAAAATATGTCAAATTTATAATTCTTTTTAATCTAGTGATAAATAAAACTTAAGATAAATCTTTTAAAGATATAAAATACTGATGAAACATTAAAATATAGAATTTTTATAATTCAGTCTCAAGAGTATTTACCTAATATTATTTCATTTTAAAAATTAGATTTTGAAAGTAGATATAAAAGCACCTAGATTTAAAAGCTAATGAAATTACTTACTTTCACACTATAACTTTTTACTTTTTTATGTTAAACAATTATTTCTAGTAATAAAATTTCACAGCATTATTTTCTAATCATTTTTTTAACATCTATTTTACTTATTTATTTTACTACTTATTATTCTCTTACATTTTCAAAACCTACACAAACCTGGCTCAGTTTTTACATTGACTAAAGATCAGTTAATGATCGAACAAAATAATTTATCTAAATAATGTACAAAATAATTTACCAAAATCAGTAAACGATGTGAAGAACATTTTTTTAAAGATAAAATAAATCTTACACAATGAAATTTATTTAATTGATTAAAAATGAATTTAATTAATTAAAAAATGTTGTTCAGAAGTCAGCGACATACCAAGAACAAAATACAAGTTATTCTTATTTTAAAAAGGCCTATTCAAATATGAAAAATATCTCTGATCACATAAGAAATGTTTTTTTAAAAAAATACATCATAAATATTTAATCCCATACTTCTTTCCTGTAAATTAATTCCTAAATAATAACTTTAAAATATAAATTTATGCAGTTTATTTTTATTACATGAGACTATTTAGTTGATTTTTATTAAGTAGGAAAAATTATACTTCATTATAATAAACTGATCAATAAACTAAAAAAAAAACAATAATTAATGGTTATTAGTTTTCTTGAATTACACAGAAAGAATTGAACTTTTTTTTTATTTTCTGAGAAACTCTTAAGTTTAGGAACGTCTAGTCCATTTTTATGCTAAAAGAATGGAAAATCAATTAATGTAAAAATTTTATTTTGTTACTTTCTTGTAAAATACTGACATAACTGAATAGTTTTTAACTAAAAATGCCAAATGTAAATATCAAAATGATTTTCTAAAGTTTAAACTATTTAGTTTTGAATATAGAAAATAATTCTATAAGCAAGTAAATAAATAAAGTTTGAAAGTTTCATTTATACAACTTAGATACCATAATATAGCTTAATATGATAAAATAACATTTCAAAATATCATAAAATGTTACTTACTTCTCTTTGTTTGCTTCACTAAACTTCACCTGATGCTTGGAAGGTTTTATTTTTTGTGGACGGCTTTGTCCTTTTGTTAATAAAAAACAGCGTAAGTTATCTGCATTAGGGTTTTCCTTGATACCTAAAACATATACATTCAACTTTACTTAATTCGAGTTAAACTGAATGAAACATATTGAATTAATAGAACTCAAATCAGTAGATTCTGCACATAAAATGATAAAGCTAGATGATAATTTTGTCTTTTCAATACTTGCAAATATTTCTGAAAGATTAAAGCATGGCTGCGCACTTAAAGTGGACCGGAAAGTTTTTTTTTTCTTTCCTTCTCTATTTCTTTATTTTTTTAAAAAAAATTAGGAACATTTTAGAGTAGAAAAAAAACCATTGGAATACAAAAGAAAAAACTGCATAAAATTTTTTGAAATCGGTTACTATCTTTCATTTGTGCATCATACTTAAAATTAATGAAAATTTAAATCATGCCTTAAAAAAACATTTTAAGTTTGCTAAAACATTTGAAATAAATACACTTTATTATTTTATACTTCTTAGAAGGTTTGAATACCGTAAATAAATTATATTCTAATCAATAATTTATTTTTTTCAATCCTGAAATGTTTCAGAAAATATCATAAGTTCATCAATTTTTTGTTAATTTTCACTGAGTATTACTTCGCTCATTATGTTTGATCAGAACAACCCTGGAGCACACCATAAGAAGATGGTTGCATATTGAGTTCCACCTGCACCCTACTACCCTACCTAAAAACCATCCAATTTTTGGACATGGTCTTTAGATTATAACTACAGCTAATTGAAACTATTTTCAATGAAGTAGGATTCTTTGGCTAACTGCATTGTTAAGGTTCTTTATTTATATCAACTACACATTCAAAATCCTATTTTTTTGATAAATGAGGTGCAACTGGTCTAGATTTTAGTGACAGATTTAGAATAGAATAGAAGAGATTTAGAATATATCCATCATTAGCTTCATGTTTGCATATTTTATTCGAATCTTCTGCTACAAGTTTAGTACACTGCTTTACAGCTAGGAAACAACAGAGAGATAATGGCACTTCTCTACTGTGCATTGTGCCAGAATTGCTGAGTGATTTAATATCGAAAACGAAAGTCAAAAATTTGTAAAAATTACGATTAATTGTTGCAAATCATGAACATTAAAAAATTTAAAATTTATCAATGTGTCCTAATATTTGTGGAGTCGTAATAACATAATAAAATACAGAAACTTTAAAAACCAAGCAAAAATTCAGAGAATAACTGCCAAAAAAGTGAGAGAAAGAACATGCAGGTATACAATAGAATAGCACATTTCTTTATAATATTGGGCCCGTAACTTTGACCTCTCTAATAACTTTAATATACTTAAAATTTAATATTAAGATCTTAAAATGAATAAATAAATAAAAACAAGCTATAAAATTAATCATAGTAGCTATTCTCTAGGACTCAAAGCAAGTAGAACAAAATTTAAATAATTAAGGCTGCTGCTGTTTTAAAAGATTTGAAGAAGTTCAATCAGTTTAAACTCTGCAAAACAAAGATATACTCTCTTGATTGATTGATTTTTTGTAAACAAACAATTTAGTTATTGTCAATTAAAAGGTTTTAATAAACAAGCTTTTCTTTGTAATAAAAACTATTATATAGCAATGAGCAAAATGCATGTTTCAGTGAAACTTTTTCATTTAAATGAAAATTCGTGTGAATTACGCATCGGAGATCAAGAATCTGAATGGGGGAATTTAGATATAGCGGTTGAACTGGATGCATCAAAAACCATTCTCAAGTTTCTAAAACTGATATTCATCGAAAATCAACAAATATTGATAAACACTTATTTTTAGGCAAGTTTTTAAACTGAATAGTTATAGTTGTAACAAAATTACTTCAAATATTGAAGAAAAAAAACTAGTATTAAATAAAGATCTGATGTTAAAACTAAGATAGTATTGTCTGAAAATTCAGCAGTTGTTGGATGTATTCATCTCAAAGGTTGAAGTTAATTCAATGCATGTTCCATTGCCTGTGGTTAACAGGAGTTCTTAAAATGATAACATATTAAAAAAAATTGCAAACATTATGTAGGACAGAATTTTGTATTTCTTTGTTAACCAGCATTCAAAAAGTTGCAAAATAATGCAGAATAAATTGGAATTTTTAGTTTTTAAACAATTCAAAATGAATAAGAACAAAAAGTAAAATGTATAACAAAAAAAGAAAATTTTAAGAGGGAAATTTTTTTTTTCGTGATGTACATTTAAGAAAAAAATTTCTTAAATTTTTATTCAAATTTAAGAAATTAATTAAAAATTTTATTTTGACTGATTATCATACTCAGTCAAAATACTTTGAATATCAACAAAACACTCATTTATACTCTACTACCCAAAAAATTTTCTTGAAATAAAGCAAAACAAAAAGATAAATAAATAAATGCAAATAGTAATCAGGTAAAAAATTTAGTAGCAAATATAAATGCGGGATGAGGCAATTTAAGTATACCTTTGTTAAGAGCAATTCTTCTTACATCATTTGGATTTTGATGTGAAACTAAAAAAATTAAAAAATAACAATAATCAAAATAAAAATCAATTCAAAATCAAAAATTAACACAGAAAAAATATTTGAACTTTTATTAACGAATTAAAATTAATTTAAATTTAAAAAATATTAATGTTTTTAGATAATTGGTTAAAGCAATAAAAACATTTTAATAATCGACAACATAATATCAATTATTTAGATAAGTTTTTTCTCTTTTTTTTATGAGAATCATAAGGAGCAAAAATCTGCATGCACAGCTATTTTCTGTTAGCAGGTATAAGTGCTTTGTATGAATTCAAATAAATGAGTCTAATTATTAGAATATATGACATTTTTTGAAAGGCTTAGAACAATGCATAAAGTGTTAAAATATAATTTAGCGTAAAAAATTTAAATGGCATCTTTTTGAGAGAATCAATTTAATGAATAAATTGATTAAAATAATCAAACTAGTCATTTAATAAATGAGTTGATGAAGTTTAAAAAATAATTTTAAATATATTTTATGAATTTAACAAACACAGAGCTTGAAAAACTATTTCTTAACACCTAAGAAGAGCGGACAGTAAAAGAATCTCTCCAAGAACAACCAGAATGAATCTCAGGAAGTCTTATTTTTTTTAACTAAGATATAGTTTCAATAGAAGTTTGCAATTTTTCTTAAGGCAATCTTGCAATTTTTCTTAAATATCAGACATAAAAGATCTGGTAGCTAACTTGATTATTAATTCTGTAATAAATAATATTTTATTTGGTACTTTAAGGAAATGGCAGAATGAAAAATTTAATAACTTTAACAATTATAATAATACTGAAATCTACTTATATACAGGATTCTACCAAATATGTGAAAATATTTAAAAGTTTTTCTGAGTTGAATATATAATTTAAAAAAGGCAGACAATATGTAAATATTTCAAAACAATAGCCTCATACAGAAATTAATTACTTAAAAGGTTAAGTTACAAACTATCAAATAGTATTAAATAACAATAAAAAATTTGAATAAAAAATTAACATTAACAAAAATACTAATGACACTAGAGTATCTCTGTGATTGCCAATGTAGGAAAGGTAAAGATGATAAAGTGATGGAAACCAATGTTTAGGAAAGAGTACGAAATATTTGTGACTGTTACTATCAAATCAAAATGAAATTAAATGAACTAGAAAAATTATAAAATTGTTTTGTAAATTTTAAATGACAAAAAAATTTAATATAACTTGTGGAAAACATTCCATAGAAATTTTTTTTAACATACAGTGTAAAGTCCTATATCGGACGTTCGCCTACCGAAAGGGTCTTTTTTCCAGACAATTTTTAACAATCAAAATACACAAAACTCTTTTTCCCTAATTGAAAAAAATTTCGTTTGTGATTTGTTGAAAATAGAAAGCATGCCTGGATAAGAATCCTCCGTCTTCTGCTACCCGAATTCCGATTTTTGTTCCATTTCAATTCGATTTCCGATTTTAAAAATAAAAAACAAAAAAATTGGATATCGAACAAGAATCACGCTCTTGATTTCAGAGTGCACAAAAATGTTAAATTTTCAAAAAATTGTGATTTGAGATGGGATTATCATGACTAAAGTCAGACATTAATTGATTATTCAAAAGCGCAATTCAATTTAGAATTTGCGAATCGTAGTAATATTCTATTAAAAATGAAATAGACAGTTTAAAAATCATGTGGAAGCCCCAAACCGTTGAAATCGTGATAGGCAAAACCACATGGACAATAAAATAGCCAAAATCTAGTCATCAAAAAGTAATCCTACAGATGCGCGAATCGAAATTTCCTGTGTATGATAATGTAGCCTTAAAAAACTATGAAAATCGGTAACAATAACTGACAAAATGCAATCACAAATCCACGTGAACTTTCGGGTGAATCGACAATACTTGAGTGCAAAATGCGCAACTTGAAGCTTGCCGATCAAAATATTGTATTAAAACATTGAGATTTTAAAAACGAAGTGATAATCCGGTTTAATAGCTACCAAAAAGCAATAGGCAAAGGCACATTTATTAACTGTGGAATCATAGCTAATCGTAGATTGAGAAATAATTGCTGACTGAAATGTGTGATTCGGAACTTGCATCGAAAATTTAAAAATCATGTGGAAATCTGTAGCAAAATCTTTCAAATTAGCACAACCACGCAGGAGTCTTATTTATTTATACTGATGTTAATTATCGTCTATTTTATATTGAATTAGGATGTTTTCATACTTGTTTACCTTAAAGACCTATTATACAGAAAAATCTATTTTACAGCCTTGCCATAATCCCGACGATTCCGGATATGGGACTTATCACTGCATATAAATATAAAAAAAGAAAATTAATATTACCTCTCCTAATGATAAGTTTAGGAGTTTTTCCCATTTCCGAAGAAGACTCTTTAACAGTGGTAACAAAGGAAGAGGAGGGCTCAATAGTCTCGAAAAAAGAACGACATTTGAAAGTCTCTGGAGTAGAACAAGGAGTTGAAACAATGTTATTTGAAGTTGTCACTGGAAGCATAGCTTGTAGATTTGATATCTTATGATTTGGTAAGGATGCTAAAAATTGTTGAGCAGGGGAAGGAGGTTTCTCATCTGAAATTACTGGTTCCTGAGTAGTTTCACACGACCTTGAACTGCTTGGCATTAATGGAACAACAGGTATCACAGTATCTTTTGGAATAAATTTAGATTTGTCATGTTTTAATCTGACAATATTAACAGAGTTTGAACTTGAAGATGACAAACTGTCATAAGTGTTACTCTTATCACTCTCCCAAACGGGAGAGGAGTTAGAACTGGAAGTGTCTACTTCTGACAATGCAGAAGAATTCACATTAGGCAATGAGTTACCTGAACTTATTGGAGTGGAAGAAAACCTATGCATTTGCTCTAAAATAAAAGAAAAAAAGACATGAGAATTACATAAAAAACTTGGTTTTTAACCATTCATTTTATAAACATTTGTTTATAAAGAGTGAACAGACACAGCAGCAAACTCAAATAAAAAAATTACTGACTTTATCAAATGCTTCTGATTTTTTAAACAAATGACATAAATTTTATTATTAAGTTTTTGGTTTTGTAATCTTCTTAAACATAAAATATATTACAAAATGATATATATTACGTGTTATTAAAGTTGAAAATAAACCATTAAACCAAAATCATTATAAGACCAATACTTTTAGAAAAAAATTGGACTTTTAAATACCTCTAACTCTAATTCCAAGACATTTCCAAATTAATTAAATATCCTAACTTTTACATGTTCTGTGGCCACCACGTTTTAAGTTTTCGTGGATCATAATTTTTTTAGAAAATATTTCTAGCTCAATAATTTATTTACAATATATTATTCATAAAAATATTAGCAAATACTTCAATAACTTCCAGAGAAATTTCATTGGGGTTATTATTTTGTATTATCTCAATATTACATAGTTAAAAATAAAAAGACTTACAAACACAAAGTTAAGATGGTTTAGAGACCAGCGCCTTGAAAGTTTTAAATTTAAAAATTTTTTAAATCAAAAACCATTAAAAGGAATTAACTGACATATTTCGATGCTTTTTCTACATAATATATATTTTTAACAAATTTTAAGTTTTTTTTTTCAAAAAAAAAGAAAACAATAATTAGATACAAACAGTGGCGTACGCAGAATTTTTTCAAGGGGGGTGTTCATAATTTTCTGAAACTACTAAAAGAAATTCGAGTCTGTAATAAAGCACTATTATTTCCCTAATTTAGGCAGCTAGACAATTTCGACTTTTTATTTAGACAACATTGTTTAGTTAAATTTTGATTTGATTTTTTAAATATAGGAACATAATGTAATATCTTCTGAAAAAAGTCCAATGTCATATGGGTGGGAAGTAACACTTTGAGGGCCACTTTCACATTCATCAGATTTTGTTATGCTAGAAACGTTTTTTTCAACGGAAATATCACATTTCTGTACAACAGAAAAACTTACATCGGTACTAGATGCTGTCACCTCACTAATTTCAGGTCGTGATTTTTTCTCAAAATAATTAAAAATTGTTAAATTCTTGCGTTTTGGCACCCTAAAGATCCAAGAACAGCAAATATATATATATATATATTGGCACAGATATATCCGCTATGCTAGGATCTCAAAGTTTCGAGCTGGAATGAATAACTTCAACGAGCACAGTATCTCCAATGGTATAGTTGTTGATTTTTTCACTAGTTGAAATAGTGGCGACGACGGATTCGGCGATTGAATGAACTTTTTGTTAAGACAAAACAAAACAGATTTAGCGACAAGCTCCGAAAGACAAGCGGCAGAGATAACTTTTAGTCTGACTAACTAACTCCACTGTACTCCGTTCCCCCTTTTATATAATTTTTCACCGCATCTCCAAAATTCTCGAATTGTCTCTAAGACGACAGAACGTCTAGGATTCCAGAATCATCGCGTAAAGACCTCGCGAATGACAGCTAGTTTCGAAAACTATACTGGCAGGACAGAAAGGAACCAGTCAGTAACAGTATCATGTGAATTTGGTTTCAAAAGTACAACCCTATTATAGTAAATGTTTTAACAGTATTCTCAGAAATACCGTGAGAAGAAAAAAGTAGGCATAAGGCAAATAAAAATATATAGTCTTAAAAAATAATAGCATGCATAATTTCTACTAAAATTTTTATTTTTGCCATTTTCTCTGAGCTCAAGGGGGTGTTTAAACCCCTAAACCCCTCCCTTGCGTACGCCACTCCATACAAATATAATTTATACTACAAAATTTAGTAAATTAAAAACTAAGAGAAAATTTTTCAAAAATATGAAGAGAAAAAAAATTAGTAGGAAAGTTTTTTTAATGAAAGTTAAATTGGCTGCCATACCTTTTGTTTGGGATAGATACAAAATGGACTTAAACATATTAGAAAAAAAATTAAATTAGCCATATTTTTTAAAATCTAAACTCGAATGAAAATATATTGTATTCATTTTTAGCAACTGTAACTTTATCTTGAACAACAAAAAGACGAATTTGAAAATAACTAAAACATTTTTCTTTAATTTATTAATTTTTTTTTAATTTCTTAAAAAAAAATTCAAATATATAAGTAAATGAGTCTCACATCATTAGCCAGTAATGCTACTTTCTTTAATTCTCAGAAAAACAATAAACCAATTAAAAATATTTATTTTGATAGGTACCTTTTTAGGACTTATTTAAACTAAACCAGGTGAATTTTTGAATAAAACAACAGACTAATTAAATTCAATTGGCAGCTGATGGGGAAAAATCAGAAAAATGGAACTAGGAGCTGAATGTCATTAGTCAAACATCAACAAATTTAATGCATGAAAAACATTCCAAAATAATATGGATAATCTTATCACTATGCTTCTATAGAAGCTTCTCTGTTTAAGACTTCCTTTTTAGAAAATGAAGTAAAAAGTCTGAAATTTAAAATCAAGTCAAATGACTTTTTTTAGGAAACATAAAAATTCATTATGTATTATAGAGTAAAAGATAATTTTTTTACCAAAATGTAAATTTAGATGCGAGAGTTTTACTCTAAAGCCACAAAATTTGCAGGGTACAGTATCTGCATTTTCTATAAGAAAAAAAAAATAATTAAAACTTCTCAAGATATAACAAGTATTAAAACATTTACTATAAGATTCACAATTAGTTATAAGCATGTATTAATTTTAAAAAATGTTAACAAAGAAATATAAGCAGCCAATATGTGAAGGAAAAATATCCAATAAATTTTATGAAATAATAAAAAGAGCATGTTAACTATTGCACAATATCTAAAATATTTCAAAGATATGAATTTTCTTATATTTAATAAACATACTACATTCCACTATTAATCATAAATGACAAGAATATTTTCTACTTAATATTGGCATTTATTCATTTGGTCATAGATTATTTTTATTGTTTTACATTTATTTTTGAGTTTGTTAATTCCAATAACAACCAATATTGAAATCATTTTAGATAGTTATAATATATTCTCCAACTAATTTTTAAAAAAAAGATAGTCGTAAAAAATGAAAATTTTAAAATACTGAAAAAAGAACAAACATTTCAAGCCAAACATTTCAAATTTGGCTTACTTCATAATTTAGTTAAAATACTTAAGCATATAATGAATAAGCAAAGTAAAAAATCTAACTTGATAGGGATTCTTTTTTTACGACTGAATTGTCTAAAATATACAAATTCTGAATTATACAAAATCCCCAATTTTTTCAAAATTATCTTCGTTTACTCTTTTTTGTCTCTCAAACACAGTAAATAAAAATATTTAATCACCAACTTGGTCGACTGAAAGTGTGTGAAGAAGAGAGGTCAAAAAGCCCTTTTACAGTGAATCTATTTCCTTTGCAAGACCATGAAAAGATCTCACTATCAAAATCAAATTGTGGTCAATCGAAAATCATTTATTTCTTCAAAAGAATGTAAAAAAATTAATAATTTGATTTATTAATCTATTTAATTTATTAATCTATTTAATCAGTTAGTAAGTTATACACAAATATACTACTTAAAGTACTATGTACTATTGTACAAACATGCATTATTATAATCACAATTTCCAACAATAACAGAATATTCAGCAAAGTGTTATTTGGAAAATTATTTTTCAACAAAGTTTTTTCTGGAAAATATTTTAATAGATTTAATTAGGAATAATCTAACATTGTATTTTTTTACTATACATTATTAGAAATAGTTTTTACACAGATTAGAAATAATCTAGCTTGTTAATTTATGTTCTGAAAGACGCATGGAAAAGTAAAATTGGAAGGATTGAAACTAGATTACTTTATACTGAATCATGTGTTTTGTAATGCTGATTTTTTCCCTTTTTTTTAAAAATTGCATTCAGGCTTGTCAATTTCATTGTTTTTTTAACACTATGTTTTAAAAATTGAGAACTTTTTTTTTTGCTTAATTTTCTCTTGTTTTTCTGCTGTAACTAAAGCGAAACATGTTGATGGTGTATTTCTAATATACTTTATTCTTTTATTGTTCAGTAAGATGGATAACTAGCAAAATAGAAAACTGTGATTCTCAGGGGTTAAGTTAAAGTACACAGCTAAGCAGAATTTTTTTCCTGTTTTTTTTATTTTTGTTATTAACCTTTTTTTTCCATCAGCGTTTTAATTATGACAGCATTTTTAAAGACATAATGAACATTACTCTTTATGGTTACTTTTCTCTAAAAATACAGTAAGTGAAAAAAGTTAAATTGAAATTTTTAGCATTAAAACTTTCATTTAAAAAGTGAGAACGGTTTTTGTTTTGGTATCTATCTAGCTTTTTTTTTTTTTTCAAAAAATTTCTGTTTTTATAATGAGATGGAAATTAAGATAGTTTCTATTAGACTTAAATCCTTACTTTTTCTTAAAAATACGGTGATTGGAAACTGAAATGTTTAGCTTTATAATTTTCTTTTAGAAATTAAGATCCGATTTTATTATTAAAATTTTTTTTTTTGCTTTGTATATAATCTTTAATTTTTATAGGAGTTTTTATGATAACATAGACATTATCTCTATTAATGTTTCATGCTAATTTTTTTTCAGAAAATTAAGAGATTATTTTTTTAATTCTTTTTTTTTTCAACTTAACTTTTTTTTTAAATATCTGTTAGTGAGATTTTTTTCTCTTTACCTGAGACTAATAATACAGCTAAGTTTTAATTATTTCTCAATAATAACTTAATTTATTATTATATAAAAACTAATATTTATTAATGATGTTTTAAATAAAAAAAAAACGTCGCTATTCGGCTGAACATTGTATTCAACCAAATAATTGTTTGTTACATCCCTAGTTTGCAGAGGACTTATTGCTGGGTTTGGCAGTATTACACAGTGGTTGCAGTCCGTAAAAAAACATAATAATAAGAAAAAAAGAATTTATTACATCTTTATTCAAGAGAAATACAACAACAACAAAAAATATCGAGACCAACAGCCATTATTGTGCGACAATCAGCGTCATATCCCACACAAAGTAGTACTCATTAATCTGAAGCTGAATGGGTTTACAACCGGGTTCGGAATCCTAGTTCTTTACACTGACACCTTAGTGACTTAGAAATTATGGTTTTATAAACACATCATAAAAACAAAGAATAGCTGAAATATTTAAGAGAGTAGTAAAATAGGTAGATAAATACCTGGGTAAATTTGTGGACTTTCACATTTATATCTTGGAGTTTTAACAGAACGAAGCTGATCTGTTTCTACACTTGCAGAAAGAGTTTTTTCAGGCAACCTCTTTCGGCTTGGACAACGCTCTGCGATAAATAATATCATGGTAATAAATTATAAATAAAAAAATTATACATTGGAAATTAAGAGCGATTTGCTACACACCAGTGTGGTCTTTCAACACATTCGGCATTAGACATTTATCACAGTACTGGCATCTTAATAATACAAGGTCTAAATTTTGAAGTTCAGGAAAAACACCTAGGTAGCTATCATCTACAATTTCAATAAAAAATAAAACAAAAATTAATTGATAACACTAAGAAAGATAATTTTATATTAGCATCAATAATTGAGACAATTTCAAAATAAAAATAATAATAAAAAAAACTTGTCAAAAAATTTAGAAAGACAATTAAAATTGAATTCAAAAACTGAATTAAGATGGTTATAGACTAAAGTAAATAAGTGAAAATATTATATTTTTCATTTTTAAAGGCAAAGACAAGACTTTTTACATATGTATCATCTAAGATGATACTAACGCAGATTGTTGGCATTGCTTTAAAAATGTAATGCTATTTTATTTATATTTAAGTCTGTACTTTCTATTTTGTCAATTTTAACTAATATACACACATTTATTATTATCTAGAATCTTATAATAATATACGAGATCTAATTTTGCTTTATAAAATTATTATTGCTTAGTTATTCTACTGAATAAAAAGAAGAAAAAAATGCTACAGATTTGCAATTTTACTATTTTAAAAAGATGAAATAATATTTTACAAGAGGAGATTATATTTTAGAAATAAACTAGTTTTTTTACAATTACACAATATAAAAATTATTCAAAATATACATAATGAAAATATATGTTATTTTGTAAAATAAAAAATATTGGCATTTTAAATTGAGATCGATAATTTCACAACTCACAACATGCTAAAAATGCTCATAGCATGTTGCACCTATCGTACCAATCGTAAGCAAAAAGATTAAACAATCATTCAACAAATAGAAATATCACTGCAAAATTTTCAAAATGGAAAAACTTATCAGAATCTATATTTAGGTTACAAAACATTATAATCTCACACTTACCAGAAGGCAATACAACACCATGCGATTCCTGACTGGACATATTGAAAAACTCAATCTAAAGTTAAAAAAAAAATCTATATACACACACAAAATTAACACCAAAAAATAGTAACTTTAATTTATACAGAGAGGTGTCAACTTTGAAAACTAGCCATCTGTAAACATAAATAAAATAAAACATTAACATAATTTAAATTAATGCAGTTTCTGAGTGTTTCTCCAATATAGGTACATACAAATATTTATAATGCAATAAAAAAATAAAAACACTTAAGGATTATTATTATTTTTTTATTTACTTATATTTGAATACTCGTAGCTAACAACAAAATTTAATAACTCTTGGTAGTTAAGGAAAACAAAATTTATTTTTATTAGATTTATAAAAAAATTCTCAAAAAGCATAATTTTAATTCTTCAACCCCAAAGACCAAATCTTGACAATAAAATTGTAATAACTGCAGATAATTCGTAATAGTTACAGTTAACACCTACAGTTGGCAACACCTATATCTGAATGCATACAATAAAGCATGAGTTCTTGAAGAAAATTAGAAAATTAGAATATTAACTAGTAGCTAAAACTAATAAGATCATAAAGTTTTTTAACAGGCAATAAGTCTTGAGTAAATGGCCATTTCCCCTAAAATAATTATATCATATGAAAAAAATTAAACAGTAGTAAATATTTAAACTACTAATGAAGATTGTGTACAGTATATATTATAAAAATTAATGCAAGGTTATAATATCTCTTTAAATTCACGGTTATAATCTGTCTATTCTGTATAGACAATATTTTAAAATTGCTTTATCTTATTAACAGTCTTTCACACTTCTCTAAAGTCAAAATGCCTGTTATTGTTCTTCTTCTTTAACTTCTTAAGAGTCAAGAAAGCACTACTCTTCCATAAATCAATTTGTTTTATTTTAGATTATAATTCAACAAACTACAGGCATGTAAATATTACTATTTTGTCAAAATGTTATTGGAAAAAAAAAACACTTTTAATATTAAATTGAAAATTTTTGCTTATCTTTGTTAAGAGGATATACCTTTACTTGATGTTTGACGAGATTTTTTAAAAAAAATATCATTTCATTGACAGACTCGCTATTACAGGACTTCTTCAGTTCTAAATTATTGCCCAATAAATAGGATGCTATAAGTTACAATATTCATATTTCATACAACTACAATATAAAACTGTTTAGAGAGAATCAATCAGAATATTGGAGTATCTTAAAATTATATGCAAAATACAGAATTTGTAGGATGCTCTTCTACATTTTTGGAAAAATATAAGAATCATTATACATTAACATAGAAAGGTCGATTTTACTACACCCATTTACTTATCGGAACCAACACAAACAATTTATAAGTGAAATTGTTATAGTGAATTGCTAAAAATAAATAAGTACATGCATGTAAAAGAATTACCAACATGCAAATTAAAAATTTTATTTACTTAACTGACACTTCACAAAAAAATAATTAGATACCCTAATAATAAAGTAATTTTATGATATTTTATGTTTCAGGGGTGATTGTGAGCCCAGATCAAAATTCCAGAAAATTTCTTGAGTTTGAAAAAAAAAAAAAAAAAAAAAAAAAAAAAAAAAAAAAAAAAAAAAAAAAAAAATTTNTTTTAAAATTTTTCTCAATATTTCTTAGTTTACTTAAAATATATTTAAAATTTTACGCATACCTATACCATTTACACATACCTATGATGACCTGGTGAAGTAATTAAAATTTACAAATATGTCTTTCTTTCTGGGGTTTATGATTATAACAACTATTTACTGATAAAAATTTAATATTAATCATGAATATAAGCTTATAAAGTATCGCTCTGGCTCTCCTTTACAAACTAATAAAATAAACTGTGTTTTTTAGTTCCACCTTTAAAAATTTGATTTCCGGAAACTTCTGTGATCAATAATTTTTTGAAACGTCTGGACCTTCGATCTCCGGAAACTTCAGGATCACTGCTGGCGAAAAATCCGGATTTTTTCCGGAGCACAATCAGCCCTGGTTTATAGTGAAATAAAATGCACTGTTATCAATTTTAATTTTTTTTATTTAATAAAGAAAATATTTGTAAAATATTTTTTTTTTTTTTATAAACTTAAAATTATTTTCCTATTAAATGTTTTTCAATTGAAATAATACCAGGCAACATATTGATAAACAATATATTATATACTATATATTGTGACATATGATAATAATATACATTATATATTATTATTTATAATTCAACAAAAATTTTATTAAAAAAAATAATAGGTATAACTTACATACTCTTTACTGCTGACACAAGTTTTCTAGTAATTCAATCTTTTCCTGAAAAAGTTTTTATATTTATTTTAAATATATTTAAGGTGGAAAAAAATGAGATAAAAACAAAATTTAAAAAATAAGTCACTATTGCAAGCATGAAGTAAGATTCGGGCAGAAAATTTTTGTCAATTGAAATTACTAAAATATTTTAAAAAGGCTATGACAAAATCTTTTAAAAATTATGTTACCTAAGATTGTATTAAAAAATCTGATCACCCAAAGTAGGTCGTTCGGTTTTGAATAACAGTAAACTAATCAATGTTATGCATCATTCAAAGCTAATTTTCACCTGTACAACATTTTTCAATTTTTTATAATAAAAACCATCACAATTAAGCTTAAATTTATAAAACAAAAAATTTTATAGAGCTATTACTTAATAAGATGCAAATTTTACATTAAAAAAATATTAAATGGCTTTGATCTAGATTTTTCAAAATTTTTAAATAATAAAAATCCAGTCTTCATTGAAATGCAATAAATATTGTGCAAACTAATTTTTGCAACTCTCAGTATCCTACAAATCTACTATAATACTTATCAACTGACTATAATGCATATTTTTTCGTAGAGAGTATTTGTTTAATTAATAAATAAAGAATTCATTTTTTTTCAGACTTTTTTTCTTCTTGGCAAAAATTGGATGACTTCTTAAAATAATATCTGAGAGTTTTAAATATAGGAACCAAAAAACTGAATAGGACGGTTAAAATCAAAAAGATAAATTAAATTTATCATAAATTCTACTTTCTCAAAAAATATATTGCTTACTCTAAAAATAGATCATAACCATAAAAGTCATAGATAATTCCTAAATACAAAAGAATAGATATGAAATAATAGGAAATTTTTGAATGGGCACACCTGCTAAAACATAGTATTGAGAATCTTACTTTCTACTTTACTTTCTTTTGTATACATATTGTAACAAATATAATGTGTTTAAAAAAAACTTCTCAAAGTGAATTGACAAATGACTTTTTTAAAATATATTTCGCACATTAAAAGCATTAAGCTTTCCTTACATAGATTGTTCAAACTGCCCCAAATAAAATTAATTGATCAGAAGAAAAACATAAAACTTTGTTCATAATGTAATTAGTTATACTTTTAGTTTTGTATTTTTATTATTTTTTATGCTTACTTAAAGCTGCAGATTTACCTTTTGACTACTTAATATTAATACATGCCTTAAAAATGCTTAAGGTGATGCAGTTAGATCACTACAGCAAAGATAATTCTTTCAACATAAAACATGTTCAGAATACTGTGTAAAGGTTTTTTTGTTGTTGTTACTTTTCAATAGTTACAATGTTATTTCTGCACAGTATAGAGAAGATAATTAAGAACATTATTTTCTATAATATTAAAATGTGAAAAGAAACATATCATTAGTATTCAATATGTTACATTTTAAGAATAAATAACTTTAGCGTAAGGTTTGTCTAGAAACTCAAAAAAAAAAAAAAAAGAAGAAAGAATTGTTCACAAAACAATATATACAATTTTATTTATTGATTAGAATCTTGTATGGTTGCTATTCCTTTTCTTAATAAATCTTATCTTATATAAAGCTTGCAGCAAAAATATATTTAAAAAAATTTTAAGCAAGACATGCATTGGAGAAGTTTAAACAAATTCTAAAATCTATGTATTTGACATTATATAAATTGTCACACATCACATGATTTGTAATGTTTAATCCCAAAGGAATGGTTTATAATACCCTAAACTAGGCAACCAAAGAGAGAAAAATAAATAAATTTCAATCCAAAATATTAATAAATTTTATAAAACTTCAATCGGTACAATAAGCAATGAAATCAATTACACTTATGCCTGAAGTAACGTTAATACATTAGGTCATAACACAAGAATCAAATAACTATATAAAAGGATTTAACACGTTATTCTTTCATTGGATAAACACTACACTCTTTAACACTTAAAAATAAAAGATTTGATGAATTTAAAATAAAATATTATAAATGATGTCAGGAAACAATTACTTAATCAACTGGAAATGAAATTCATAATATTTCATTATTGAGCACGTGAAAACTAAATTGTTTTTAACTTTCAATCAATTTCAGCCAATACACAAACAGTCTTGAATTTGCTTTCATCATAAATGAAAGTTAAAATTTTATTCACAACAAAAATATAACTGCAGTAAACAATTTACTACTTTATTTAGAACGGTTCTTTTGAAAAGAATCAAGAAATATATCACTAAAATAAATACGAAATCAATTTCTTTAATATAACTCTATAACTTATTTTTTAAGTTAAACTGAAAATTATTTTCAATTTCGGGATATTACACTGATATTAGAAATATACACAAAATAAAATATCTCCTCTCAATAGACCATATAGAAAATGAACAATAATAACAAAAAAAGAAATATCATCAAACAATGGTCCAATCAGTTCGCTCTTAAATTCAGCGTTTATGAAAAGCGAAAATCTCTCACTACGTCATAAGAAGTAAAAGAGGTTAAAGCGTTTACCACGTGGCTCGTATTTCTAGTTAAAAATGAGAAATATTTTCGGTAAAGGGTTTGTAAATTAAAAATATGTTATTTATTGTTATTATATTTTGTTATAAAATTGCTATAGTTATTGAGCTCCAGGTTCAGATTTTTGGACGCAAATAATAAAAATTCCACCATTTACAAAGTTTATAGATGGCGTAGCGATAGGGCAGCTCATAATATGGATGGTTGAGCTTGTAAAGCTAAGCACAAATGCCGCCAGGGGTTGAAATTCGTGGCAAGACTTCCGGGTTACCACTTTCGATTGATTTTCACGCCAAAGCATGAAACAGCGAGTTATACTATATTATTGTACTTGTAATGTTCACAATCTAACAAGTTCTGTCAATTTAAATTTCAATGAAACGAACGAATTTGGAAGCATACTATAATGTTACACAACAAAAAAAAAATTACAACAAATAGCGATATCTTTTACGGCATTATGCTCAAAATATGGCAAACATTACACTTTTTCATGTTGTAATGTTAATTTTCTTAACTTTGTTTCCGGCTAACAACCTGTTAGAATTTATAAATTTCAGAAAATTCTTATGAATGATAAAATTTTGCGTGAATTTAAATTCAAATCGCAATAATGAAACCTCCTAGGATATTAGCCTGTTTACACATCGCCTCGTAAGCATAACATAAGGGATACACCGGAAGTTTTTTAATTTTTTTTGCGGTTTTAGAAAACTTGTTATTCTTAACAGTCAATGAATTCTGTGTACAAAAGTATAATTTTTGCATCCAAAATTTCAAGACCGGAATGTGCGTAAGCAAACTCTAGCAGGGATGAGACCCAGTTGGCAAAAATTTCTATTAGCGTTGAAGGAGCGCTATCGACAAAAGCCAAACAGCTGTTCGCTCATGCTTTTGTTTTGTTTACGGTATAGTACCTATCTTTCACCAAGTTAAATATAGACGCGACATTTCATAGTTTCAAAGAAGCAGGTCTTCCTAAAAATTTCTCGAAGGTCATTACCGAAATTGATGAGAAAATAATGCAGAACAAATAAGACAACTGGACCAATAACGGGAACAATAAGACAATATTGTTCCCGTTTAAATTAAAATCTATTTTGTATTTATTCTATCGAGAAAAAAAATGACTTAAGTTATGTCATGTTTTTGGATTTTGTCTACAGAAATTCCCTAAGTTTTACAGCAAAAACTTTTAAAATTTTAATCAAATTTTCCTTTATTGAAATTTTGTGTAAATAATTATTAACAATAATATAAATGACTATTAAAGCTAAAGAATTAATTTAGAATTCCCAATTTTAGTGAATTAACAGCATATGCAATAAGATTGATAATTTATTTCATAATTTAAAAATACAGAAAAAGTCTTCCACAGTTTAAAAGTGAGGGGGGAAATAAAGTAGAGAATAGGTTTATAAATTAAGCACTACCTCTCTCTAAAGGAAGTTGAAGTTATGACATCAAAATCAGTAGTGGTAAAATCACAATAGTTTTTTAATTTATGATAACCTATATTAATCTGCGTATTTCTTTCCAGTAGTCGTTTATACATAATCATTAAAACTATAAGCTAAGTTAGCTTTATTAAGATATTTCCTTTTATCAGGATATTTCGTCTTCTTTTTAGTAAGACATCTTGTAACGATTTACTCGTTTGTTTGATGTTAATGATTTACTGTAAATTATTTAGCCCTTGAAATTCTTAGAAAATAATTTTTAGGCTCAACGAAGATGCCATAAGAAATTTGGCACGTTAACACTAGATTGCCCAAGGAAATCATATTTACTGTTTTTTTAATTTCAATTATAAGAACAATGATGCATATAATGACACAATTTCTTAGAATTTCGTGACTTTTTGTGCAACGTATAATTTTTTTTACTGCTAATATTTATTAATTACTTGTTATATAACTGCACATAATATAATAAATATTAAAATTAATTATAAGCAAATTTCTTTACACATTAGTTATTCTTTCACAATCCAGTCATTTTTACTGCTTTTGGGCAATATACTAAGTTTCAGTCTTTCTAATGTTTAGAATGATTCTAAGCAGGATCAAGAAAAGAATTGTTAGAGTCAAAACTCATAGTGCATGGACTCCTCTCCTTTCAAAGCACAGCTGGTGCGTACATTTATAAAGCCTCAATATATATATATACACTTGGCAGTATATATATATATATATATATATATATATATATACAGTGAAACCTCCGTTAAGCGGACATTCATGGGACCAAAAAATTTGTCCGTTTACGGGAAGGGTACCCTAATAACGAAATTTAACACCGTAAATTGTTTTTAGAATATTCTCAAAGATGTAGAAATAATTNATAAAGAAAATGTGGTATATATATATATATATATACTGCCAAGTGTCTCATCCCTGAGAGGGCCTGCTAAGAGGTTGTGAGTTAGATCTCCGTCAACCGAAGACCCCACTTGTAGCAAATGGTAACTAGTTTACGTTAAATCTGTCGGATCACAATGTCCCCCATGTTCCGATAACAAATCAACATCTCTGGGGGTACTGAATTGGAGATTGATTGTTCTCAGGTTCAGGTCAAAATTACGATCTGTAGGTGAATAAATAAATGCATGAATGGGTCCGCTCTATAAACGGGCTGTGATGTGCTTGTTAGAAGTCGTAATCTGGGCCATAGAAGACTCAGCTTAAAAACAAGAAACGCACCCCCTGCATCACTTGGTTCACCAAGCAGGCTTGCTGGTATCTGGCAAGTGACATAAGAAACAAGAACACATTTCTATCTAGACAAGTGAGACGGTGTTTGCTATGTACTTTTTAGGCGGAATTTTCTCTATTTCTTGCGTATTTTCTCCCGCTCTCTAAAACCTGACGTGCGAAGTCTAAAAATTATTACGGCTTACTACGAGGAAGGTACTTAACAGTTTTCTGCAGGTCTTCTTTTCTTTTTCTTTTTGAGGGGGTGATGTGCGTGTTTGATGTGCGTTTTAATCAATTTTTTAGCTACCTTTACTGTATATAAGTTTAAAATGGAGCAAGAAAGTCGGCGGGTTCGAATTTTTGGTCGGGACGAAATTAAAATACACCGTCACAAAAGTTACCTAAATTTTACACATAAGAAAAAAGTTATTTATGCCTGTTAAATAACTGTAAAAAGATTAATTGCTTCGATCTTATTTTCCTGTTTATAAGTTTGAATAATTTAAATCAATGATGATTATTGAAAAATTTTTTTATTTGTCTGAAATATTGAGGGGAACTTATTGACATTTCTTATTATTATGAGGATATATACACTTATTATTATGAGGATATGAGGAAAGTTTCCTCCCCTCTCGCCTACGACGTCCATAAGATGTGGCTTTTAAATTTAGCTTAATTCTCTATCCCAGAGCTTCAATACGCCATCCTGCGAAGAATCGAGCATTCGGCCTAACAGCAGCAGGTTGCAAATTTTCTTACTACGGCTCTAAGGACGTTATAAAATATGTGTACAAAAATATTATAAATATTTTCGAATTTTTAACAACACTAGAATTTAGTCAAAACAATGAAATACGTTGTACTAGGAATAAGGAAATTAACAAGGAAATAAACAAATATGTTACTTTTTTTATGTTATTTATATAAAAATATTATTTAAAATAACGCATTAAAAGCTGAATAAAAAGTCTTCAAAAATAATGTTATAATTCCCAACATATTGATATATTCAATAATTTTATAACAAAAATATATTGATATCAATTACGTTATTCACATATTCATCACTATATTATTATAATATTCTCGATAAATAATTATTTATCGAACCTACGTCCAGAAGAGAGTCAAAACAAAAACAATATCCAGCATATGAAATGTGATTACCATAGGTTTTATCTCGTAAATAAGCAACACAAAAATACTAACGATTTACGAAATATATATGTATATATTTAAAAAAATAATAATAATATAAATAAATAAAATTTTTACGAGAAAGTATGATTGATATACTTAATATACCCTTTGAAAAGAAATTTACATGATTGAGATTTCCCTAAATCAACTCTTTAATCTAGTCAACTCTTCTCATTTTGCACCACTGCTCAAGATGTAGAACTATTGTTGTTAGAGCATTCAACTACGTAATCCCGAGATCTTTGGTTCGAATCTCGCAGAAGACCAATGAACATCTTTCTCACAAATTTCGCCCTCCACATCACTTTTGAGACTAAGCATTTTGCTTAAAAATGAGTAAAAGCTGTTTAAATTTTTTGTTTGTAACTATACTCATCAAATTCTAATATTTGTTTCGGAGCTATTTTCGCTATGTTTGAGAAACCCTTTCTTAACAGGATGGAAAAATATCTCTATACCTGTCGCACAAAATATATTTAATTAATAAGATAAACTAAAAAATTATTGTTCGCTTCGATTCCTCATAACAAATACACAGCAAATAAACATTAAAGACAGAAAAATAAGCAGGGTGGACAAACTGCACATACGTCCCCAACCAAATATAATTGTATATTGTAAATATATTGCAAGTATTTTTTAACAAAACGTGAATATAAAACATTAACTCGCTTCTCTCTCTCGTTTTTTTTTCTTTCTTTTTTCTTCTTCTTTTTTTTAAGAACGAAAAGAAAATACTTAAATTTCAGCGATAGTTCCATAGTCAAAACACTGAGCTTTGACTTTGAAGTGCTGGTATTCAAACCCTGATCCCCCTTTGGAGACTTGAAACCGACACAGCGTAAAGGCAGTCGGTGCGCAACACCGACCACGTTGTTGTTTCTAATGTCACTTGCCAACCAGCAAGCCTGCTTGAACCAAGCGAATTTAAGGCAGAGAGTGCGCCTCTAGTTTACCAGCGGTACCATCAATGGCCCAAGACGACCATCTATCTAATCTACTTCAGCCACACACAAGTCATAGCCCTTTTATAGGGTAGACCCATTCATACCTCCATTCATTCACACACAGATCTCAATTTTGACCTAAACCAGGGAACGATCAATCTCTAATTCAGTACCCCCAGAGGTTTTGATTTGTTAAATCACGACCACTTTTGCGTTGTATTTAATTTTATATTGGTAGACCGTATTTTTTTAAACACACATAGAGAGAACACCCCTCCACTCAAAGAAATCACGCCTCCATAAATCCCTGCAAGTTAGCCTTACTAAAATAATGGTAGTTAGAAATAAATAGAAGTATATTTATTATTTTTAAACTTTACTGACGTTTATTGATCGTTTTTTCCCCTTCTTCTTTTTTTCTTGACGTACAAAAAGTTTACAAATCATTGAGCAAATCATCTATTTAATCTTATCAGTTAAAAAAAAGAGAAAAATATCTCTGAACTAAACATCCAGGTAGATAATAAGGTAGAGAGATACAATGGAAACTTGAAACTGAGTCTACCGATTTACTAAATGTTTACCAGTCGTTAAGAAAAACAATTTGTTTTAGGTAAGTAAAAATTTTGTTGATAACCAACAATAAATAAATTAAATATAAAATTAGTGTTAAATTTGTGTAACAAGCAATACATAAGTAGTCAAGACTGTATAACTATTACGGCGTAACTAAACTGTAAAACTATTTATTTTAAATTTTAAGCTTATTTTCGTTAAGAAAAAACAATTTGTTTTAGGTAAGTAAAAATTTTGTTGATAACAACTAATAAATAAATTAAATATCAAATTAGTGTTAAATTTGTGTAACAAGCAATACATAAGTAGTCAAGACTATACAACTATTACGGCATAACTAAACTGTAAAACTATTTATTTTAAATTTTTAAACTTATTTTCGTTAAGAAAAAAACGATTTGTTTTAGGTAAGTAAAAATTCTGTTGATAACCAACAATAAATAAATTAAATATCAAATTAGTGTTAAATTTGTGTAACAAGCAATACACAAGTAGTCAAGACTATATAACTATAACGGCATAACTAAACTGTAAAACTATTTATTTTAAATTTTTAAACTTATTTTTCGGCATATGATTTACATGCTTATGTTTCATTCCATTTTTTATAAGATAAAATAAGTTTTGAGTAGAAGTTTAAAAAGAAATACTTTATTGGATTGTAAAACGCTTATAAGCTTTTAAAATTCGTATCAAGCATTCGTAAGTTAAATTTTAATGATAGTAGAACTGTATTTTTCATAGAACTTCAAGGAAACATTTGAATCTATATGAAAATTCAATTGTTTAAGCTTACAATGAAAATAGGACAAGGATCAGAGGGTAAATTAGTGATTAACTACTATAACACTGGTAATTACCAATTTGAAAAACTTGAAAAAAATAAACACTTAAAAACTCCTGGCAGAAAAATCGAATTTTTAAAAACTAAAATTGTAATTTTATTGGTTTCATGAACTTACAATATTAGATGCTCAAATTAATTAAAACAGTTTGGATCTTAAGTTTTGAAATCGAACACAAAAAATTTATTTTCCCTGAATAAATATATACGACATTCTATTTTCTTCAGATTCGGATTTTTGAACCTCTAAGTATAGGCTAGAAGAAGAGGTGGAAGATTACCGTAATTTGAAAATAAAAATAAAAATAAAAAAATGGTTCCAAAGTCTAGTCAGGAGAGAAGAGCAATAAAAATTTTGCACCCTTTAATTTCCATTTTTTTTTCGAATTATATACCCCATATTTCTGTTTAAGTAAATAAAAAAAATTACACTCAACAATTATAAAATTCAATTTTCAATAGCTAGTTAATATCCATCTTTTAAAAATTGTTTACTGTTTTTTTATATAATTTTAGCTAGTAATATGCTTAAAAATTTTAAATTATAAGCTACACATTTTTTGCAAAGTTTCATATTATGTGATTTTAAAAAAAAATATCTTGAATTCGGTGGAATAATTTCCGAGAAATAAAGTTTTAGAAATACAACTTTTTTTGTTTTGATTTTAAACTTCTATTATTCAGAAACTATTCGATCGATTTTTTACAAATATTGGATTTTTTCATTTAAAATATGTAATATAATTTAAAATTATGTAAGAAATTGGATAATTTACAATTCAGTTCTTTTCTAACATTATTAAAAAAAAGTAATAAAAATAATAAATAAATACATTTAAATACTAAATCATATTAAATCATATTTAATGTGCTTCATAAATTCCCAAGATAAGTTTTTAAAATTCTAAAGTGGAATTAATCACACTTTGGTTTAAGCCAGTGTTTCCCAAAGTGTGGTACGCGTACCCCCAGGGGTACTGGAACAGTTTAGTGGGGGTACGCGTTTTTATACGAAATATCTTGCAACAAACGAGAATTTCAAAAAAATTTTCTTTAAAAACAAAGCTAGTCATGGAAATTTACGATTACGTATTTTTCTATTGGCTATTTTTTGCAGAGTTAACATTCACTAATTAGTGGTGTCAACAGCCAGTTGTGATTTTTAAATGGCAATTTGGGAAAATTTTTCATAGTAAGAATTACATTCATTTTTTTATTAGTGGTACACAGCATTACGAAAAATTTAGAAAGGGAACACAAAACTCATAAGTTTGGGAAACACTGGTTTAAGCTATATTAGTGCGTTTTGTTAATTATGAAAAATGCATTGAATAGATACTTTTCTTTATTTAATTCTCTAAAAGTATTTTGAATTAATTGCGAAGAACTAATAGCATAAATCTTTTCTTCAATTAGTTTATTCTACACATTTTTAATTGTTCATGCACTAGTGAACAGAATATACATTTAAATGCATATCTGCTAACTTTTTCCCCCTCTTCATTGCAGATATTCTCAAGTGGTAGTTAAATAACTATTAATAGTAAATTAAACAGAGAATCATTTATGAATTTCGCTGGAACATAACTTGACATTCAAATAAACATCAAGCTGTTTAAATTAATTATTTTTATACTAGTTAAGATAACTTTAAATTGATTTTATTAAACCATGAATAAAAAATTAAAGCGTTACTCTTAAAATCATTAAAAAATAAATATAAAATGTTCAGCGAAATAAGGAAAAGATGGCGGCTGCGTAGCGTTGCTAAAAGATTAGAAAGCAATATTTTTTAATTAATTATTTTTTATTAAATTATTTTTAATCATATATTTTTTTCTTAAAGAACAAATTTTATTTTTTATTTGCTATTAAAAAGTAGTTTTTATTAAAAATTAGAACGTTTGTTTTATTAGAAAAGATTTTCGAAAAATACTATTATGTTTTATAAGAAAATTCAAAGCTAACGCTAAAGAGGAAAAGACAAACTTTTTTAATTTGTTGAAACCGTAATTAATTGTAACAAAAATTATTTTCAATTCAATACTACTCTTGGTTAATGAAGGGACCATCAATGGACAATTATTAGAAAAAATTAAAATTTTGAATGAAAAGTTTTGGAAAATTTCGTACGAAATTTTGATAACAGATAATTAAAATTTTATAAATACGGCGATGGTGCACAAAACCGGGTCCTTAAATTTTCTTATAATAATCAACTACATAAAAAGAATTGCTTAAATTTTAATTTGCATGAAATCAGATCAATCTTTGCTTGAAAAAGAAAACATTTTTAAGGATAAAAAAAAAAAGAAGCTTTTAGTGTAAATATATTTTTATATATTTACACTATAGTGTGTAATATATCTTTATATATATTAATATATTTTAAATATATGTGTAATATATTTAAAATATATTAATATATTTGTGTATAGTGTATATTGTGTAAATATATTTTTATATATATTTTATTTTATATAGTGTGAATATATTTTTTTTAGTGTAAATTGGTCATTCTATGGAAGTGTGCAAAAACTCGGTATTGTTCGTCATCATCGGATAAAATTGGGTATAAATACAAATGATGGAGAGAAAAAACGCCTTTTTTCCTACTTAAATATTTTCATGGAAACAGAAATAATAATTTGATTTTATTGCTCTGAGAAATTTTCAGGAGTTTAAAAAATAAAGAAATATTGGGAACATAGTTAGAATTTTCAGATTCAGGAATAGAAATTACTAATAAAATTTTTATTATATTTCTCTGTTATGCTATAGGCTTCACGTGTCTATCGTTGATATACGGTAACCAATCTTCAGGGAATTTTTATTTGGAGTGTTATAAAATATAGCTACCAGTGGTTATGTCAGACTGACTATGCCCCGACTTTATGCAACAGTACCATTCAGCAAGAAAAAGAGGTCTGCCATATTTAAAACGTGATGTAAAATGTAATCCTTTATTTTAAGTTTTTAAAATTTTTGGAAAATGTAATTTTATGCAAAAGAAAAACATAAATGAAAAAAGAAAAACACCCACACATTCCTGTACTTCTCATAGTCTCATGGTCAAATTGTAAAAGGTCACTAAATAATAAAGCGTATCCATTTTAAAATGTAGTGTTAGTGGCTCCACTCGGAAATTTCGTAGAGTGACATATTTATCTCATAAATTCCTATCAACTTGCGAATGTAAGAAAAAACTATATTGAGGCATTTGTATATATAAATAAAATCCTTTTTATCACTTCTATATAAAATGTTAAGTTGCAAACTTGATATATTTGTATTATTCAAAATATTGTTCGCAACGATATTTTTAAAAAAATATTTTTTCTAACAAGACTTTTGATAATAAAATAATTTCTGTTTTTCATTTTTCCTAACTTTTTTTATTTGAATTATTCATTATTCCATTAATTTATTCTTAATATTCCATTAATTTATTTTACTTTACAAAATAAAAATACGTGCTACATAGTCGGAAAAAAATTATACAGAAAAATTCATTTTCTTTCCATAAAAAGATTAGTTAAGTATTTAAAATTACTGGATAAAATTATAAGGTAGAAATTTAAAAAAGAAAAAATAATAATTTTGTATAAATTATGGATACAATATTTATAAAAATGTGACGCAAAGTTCATCTCGGCAATTTATGAAGAATCGTGTGCTGAAATCATAAAGTAATATAAATTAAAAAAATAATATAAATATAAAAAATAATATGAATACAAAAAATAATATAAATATAAAAAATAATATGAATACAAAAAATAATATAAATATAAAAAATAATATGAATACAAAAAATAATATAAATATAAAAAATAATATGAATACAAAAAATAATATAAATATAAAAAATAATATAGTTACAGGGTGTTTATTAAGTCCCGGACCCATTTTGATGTTTAATAACTCATAAAATAATAAATATAGATTAAAATTAATAACATAAATGGTTAGATAGACTCAAAAAGTTTCATGATCCTTGTCAATGAACTTCCACTTCGTCGCACGGATTAATATCAAGTCGATAGTCAATTTCACTCCAGGTAGCGACAAGCATGTCGGCATCCACAGAGGTCTCATCAGTCGTATGCTTAGGCATGTTGGAAAACTTCGTATTTCCACAANAACCAACAATAAATAAATTAAATATCAAATTAGTGTTAAATTTGTGTAACAAGCAATACACAAGTAGTCAAGACTATATAACTATTACGGCATAACTAAACTGTAAAACTATTTATTTTAAATTTTTAAACTTATTTCTCGACAAATGATTTACATGTTTATGTTTCATTCCATTTGTTATAAGATAAAATAAGTTTTGAGTAGAAGTTTAAAAGGAAATACTTTATTGGATTGTAAGACAATTATAAGCTTTTAAAATTCGTATCATCGTAAGTTAAATTTTAATGATAGTAGAACTGCATTTTTCATAGAACTTCAAGGAAACATTTGAATCTATATGAAAATTCAATTGTTTAAGCTTACAATGAAAATAGGACAAGGATCAGAGGGTAAATTAGTGATTAACTACTATAACACTGGTAATTACCAATTTGAAAAACTTGAAAAAAATAAACACGTAAAAACTCTTGGCAGAAAAATCGAATTTTTAAAAACTAAAATTGTAATTTTATTGGTTTCATGAGCATACATTATTAGATACTCATATGAATTAAAACAGTTGGTATCTTAAGTTATGAAATCGAACACAAAAAACTTATTTTCCCTGAATAAATATATACGACATGCTTTTTTCCTTAGATTCGGATTTTTAAGCCTCTAAGTATAGGCTAGAGCAGTGTTTCCCAAAGTGTGGTACGCGTACCCCCAGTGGTACGGGAATAGTTTATCGGGGGTACGCGTTCTCTTGCAACTAACGAAAATTTCAAAAATTTTTACTTAAAAACAAAGCTAGCCATTAAAATTTACGACGACGTATTTTCCTATTGGCTATTTTTTGCAGAGTTAACAGTTAATAATTAGTGGTGTCAACAACCAGTTGTGATTTTTAACTTTGGTGCAATTTTTTTATAGTAAAAATAAAGATATTTTTTAAAAAAAATATATTCATTTTTTATGAGAGGTACACAGCGTTACGAAAAATTTAGAAAGGGTACACAGAAGTCATAAGTTTGGGAAACACTGGGCTAGAGGAAGAGGTGGAAGATTACCGTAATCTGAAAATAAAATAAAAAATTAAAAAGAAAAAAATGGTTCCAAAAGTCTAGTCTGGAGAGGAGAGCAATAAAAATTTTGCATCATTTAACTTCTATTTTTTGCGAATTATATACACCATATTTCTGTTTAAGCAAATAAAATTTTAAAAAAATTACACACAGCAATTATAAAATTCAATTTTCAAAACCTAGTTAATGTTCATCTTTTAAAAATTGTTTATTGTTTTTTTTTTTTTTTAAATTTTAGCTATAGTAATATGATTAAAAATTTAAAATTGTAAGCTATACATGTTTCGCAGCGTTTCATATTATGTGATTTTAAAAAACAATATCTTGAATTCGGTCGAATAATTTCGGAGAAATAAAGTTCTAAAAATGCAACTTTTTTTGTTTTGATTTTAAACTTTTATTGTTCCGAAACTGTTCGACCGATTTTTTACAAATATTTGATTTTGTCATTTAAAATATGTAATATAATTTAGAATAATGTAAGAAATTGGATAATTTACAATTCAGTTCTTTTTCTACCATTATTAAAAAAGAAACAAAAATTATAAATAACCATATTTAAAACATTTAATAAGAAAATATAATAAAAATTGAAAAGTTATTCTTTGCAGTTAATTATAAATTAAGGTCTATATACTATAAGGTTGGCAAGTTTTATACATGAGAGTACAAATGTTTTGGTTTGCTGAAATAGTGTTGTAGATAAAATTGTGATGAAGAGACGAGGGCTTAATTAGATGCCCGTTTAAAAAAGGTATGTTATATCAGGATGGACAAACTCAGGAATTTATTAAAAAACATTTGAAAGACACGTAATACAAAATTTCATAATTATTTCCAACAAAATATTCTTTTTTCCCCTCAAAAGTAATGAACGTTTAAATTTTGTACCTGATTTTTCTCTTTATTTTATTACAGTAAAACCTCCACAGTGTTCCAATATCACTGTTATTTCAATAGAATTACTGGAAAGCAAATTTTCAGGGAAAGAAATCGTATTTCTCTTTTTATTGTCGAGAACAGTTATCCTGATCCGACAAACAAAACAATTTTTTTCCAGAACAGTTGTAGATTTTTAATTAATTAGTTCTGGTCGTCATAGTAACAGAAAGTATTGAATGATTCGTCCTGTTATTAAACATTTAGTTAGTTGTTAAAAGCGGTATTCAAACATTTTTATAGCTAGAAAATTAGAAAGAAGGAAACGAGCAGCAAATAGATTGGAGTTTAAATCTCTAAATAGGATGGTGAAGGAAGGTAACTATTGTAACAGCAGCGCCCCTGCAGGATTCATAAGTGCGCCCTATTTTTAGCATAAAAATATAAAATTACAATATGAATCCAAAGCACTGTGATGAAGAGACATTCGAATATTTAGAATCATTAATTTTACATTAATTTACTAAAACGGAAATAATATTTGCAATGAAAGCATGAAATTTAGGTGCTAAATTGTAACATTGTATATACTTACCGAAATGAATTTTTTTAATAATCGGAAAAATTAACTCACTATCTTAGCGGCCCCCATCAGGGGGGAAGGTGGGCGCACGATGATCCCACTTAAAGCTTGGGGGGGGGGAGATTTTTACACTAAATAAAACGAATAGTTTTGGGGGGGGATTTAGACTTTGCCCAAGAATGCACCCAAGAGCTTGGGGGGGATGGGGGCTACTGCACTATCTTATAGTAATTATATTCAAACTTTAGTAAAGAGTTATTATTTATAAAGTGAACTAAATAATACTTTATAAATAAAAAATAATTTCCTTTTAAATTATGGAGTTTCATTTTAACTCATAGTGTAAAATAATTATTTTATGTTTTACAATAGAATTATAAAATGATCAATTTATGTTTTTCTAATTATACTAAGGTATATTTGAAACTATTTTCATTCATATCTTCGCTAATTGAAGAAAATGAGACAAATTTATGTTTTTTTTTCTTTTTTAAAGATTAATAATACGATTAATTATAATAGCAAAATGTAAAATTTTCTTTCTTTTAAACTGAAAAAAAAAAAGTAAGTTTATCTTAACTTTTGATTGGATGCTTCGTTTGGCTGCATGCCTGGGTCCATTGCCACTTTGCTTCTTTTACCTTTTAATATATTTTTTAGAGATTTAACACAATTGCTAGGGTAATTTCCAGAATTTCTTGTTTTGATGTTAGAAGTTACTGATGGAGTTTCTTGGTAAAATCTCATTTCTCATTCGTACTGGGAGTATACAAGGGGGAGAAAACTTGTCTGGTTCATCCCCCCCCCCTCGCCATTTCTCATGTTCACCCTAACTTCCTCCCACAACAAACGATTCATGCACTTCGAGGGTGGTCGAATTATTTTTGACTAACAAAAATAATTACACAATTCTGTCGCACTTGTTCTGAGTATTTTTTATTTTTTAACTATGCATGCGGCATGCAGAAAAAAAAAAACTTGTTTTTCTCACGAGAAACTTATCCAAATCTATGACCGACCGAGAGCTAATGAATTTTATTCAGTTTAAAGGAAATTTCAACAAAAATAAATATATAAATGAAATATTTCAGGAATAACTACGCAAATTTAAACATTAAATAAATAAATTATTTCATTTATTTAATATTTTTATTAATTTAATAACTGAATTAAATAAAATGTTTGTTTATTTTTATCTCTGTATCCGAATTTTTACCTTCATTTTAAACAGCAGATGTTGCCTTTACCAGAAGTTGTAAATTTTGATTATACATGTACTTCTCTTTTTATTATTGTTAATGAAAAAAGAAAAAGAAAAAAAATAAATTTATTATGACATTTGACAACATATTTTTATGTGTCCATATTTTACAAGAAAAAGAAGAAGAAAAAAAGAAAACATATTGGCATAAAACTGTATTTACTATTGTTGCCCGGGTGCATTTATTGGGCCGAAAATCACATGGTATGTATGATCCAGTTTTCCCACATGGAGTCAAGATTTAAAGTTATAATCGGCATAAAATTAATAAAAGCTATAAAAGTGCAGTTTAATATTTCTTTATCTCTAATTTAAAGACCTGTNCAAAATTGCTTTTAGCTTACATTTTTAATAAATTTTTACTTTTGAAGAAAAAAATACTGTTTTATCAAGAAATAAAAATTATTACGAAGCATGAGAAGGGTGAGCGCATACGACAAGCTTTCCTCTAGTAAAACATTTGAGGACGTCGCATCAATTTGTGCGTCATTTTTATTTGTATTTCTGGATTATAGTCATCGATATAGGATTATAGTTGTTGTTTTACTTATTTTATTTTATTTATTTTAGGAGCTAACTGTCTCACAAGAAGGAAATGCGCGCAAAACGTCCCATTTTTTCTATTGAATATGATATGTATTTTATTCTAAGCATAGTTATAGTGAGTATCATCCTTATTCAGCAAAATTCTGCACACATTATTCAATTATCCACTGTTCAAGGTATGTTAATTTACAATTTCTTTTTAAATTAAATATTTCATGCATTAAAATTGCTAAGTGAATGAATTTGTTGAAAACCCCTTATCATTCAGAGTTTTCTTTGAAAAATACAAAAACTATTTTGAAAATTTCTAGAAACTTTTTAAATTATCAAGATATTCAAATCGGACTTTTTTCATTAGCTACTAAATACAATTCACTACAAAATTGTAAAAAAAATAAAATTTAAAAAATTAAAAAAAAAAGACATTTCATACTTTTTCTGCGCATGCTCAGTATGAAAAAACTGTTTAAAATACCTGCATCTTGCGTAATTTTCACCGAATTTTGTTTTTAAAATTTTAAAAGGATAATTTATTATTAAATAGAAATTGTTCCAAGAATATTGCTTTAATTTATTGAACATTTTTAAAGTTATAGCAAAAATACAGTATGATAAGTATGAGAAACACCTGTAAAGGTATTAAATAGTTCTCCAAGTACTTCTTTAGAAAATAAAAAAAAAAATAAAAAATTAAAAGTGGCTCTACAATTATTATGGAGTAGTGTATGTATTATTTGGTGTACAAATTAGTTCAGTCCGTTTTTAAAAAATGGCTCTGCTGTTATGAATGTTATATAGTAATAGTGACAGCTGGTTTCAGTGGTTTCAGAGAGGTTAAACATCCGTCAATAATATTCAGTTTATATCGCTTTGAGTTTCATACAAAAACCTTGTTTTTTACTTTGTTGAATATGTGAAATTTTGCGGTAATGAAGCACCATTTGCGGGAGGTTTTATGTTTCTGCTTTAATTGGAAGAAAAGTGCAGCTAAAGCGCATCGAATGTTTGTAGAAGTTTCTGTTGACAATGCTCCAACTGATAAGTCATGTAGGGAATGGTTTCGACGTTTCAAGAATGGTTAATGGTGAATAAAGAATGGAAAATGGTGAATGATAAATGTTGAATAGTTTTGTATACTATGAGCTGCTACAAACTGGTGATTCAATTTCGGGCGATTGGCATAGGATACAATTGATTTATTTGAGCCATGCATTACGAGAAAAAAGGGCGGAATACGAGCAAAGACTTGACAAAGTTATTCTTCTGCATAATAACGGTCAGCCCGATGTCTCAAAAGTCGCAAAAAACTAGTATTTGGAAACGCTCAAGTGGGATATTTTACCGCACCCGCTATATTCTCTGGACATTGCTCCTTCTGATTACTGGTTGTTCCGATGGATGCAGCATGATTTTGCAGATCACCAATTCACTTCTTTCGCAGAAATCGAAAATTGGCTCCTAACGTGGATCGCCTCAAAAGACGAGACATTTTTTCGAGATGGAATTCGAAAATTGCTTGAGAGGTGGGAAAAAGTAGTAGCCAGCGATAGACAATACTTTGATTAATCTGTTCATTTTATTTGTTCTGAAATAAATGCATTTTCGACCACAAAAAACTGACCGAACTAATTTGTACTCCCAATAGTAAGGTTAAAAATTAATGAGCTAGGTGAACCATATATTACCTCACGTTTGTGAATTATCACCTTTGTAAGTATTAAAGAAAACAACTTTAACGTTGAGCTATAAAAGCGTGAAGTGTAAAATGTCGCATTTTAGGCTGATAAATTAATACTTCTAAAAATACAAAAATATATACTTGAGAATAATAATAACGAAATAATAACCAAAGGTACGCAATTACGAAATAATAACGAAAGGTAAAGCATGGAATACCTCACGTTAATAAAAAATAACCTTTCCGAGTGTCCAAAAATACACTTGAAGTTGATTTATAATTACAGAAAGTATAAAATGGCTCACATTGGGTAGATAAATAAATACCTCAACAAATATATAAACCCACACTTGAGGCTGAGAAATAAAATAATAACCTAAAGTAAAACATCGAACACCTAACGTTCATAAAAAAACAACCCATGAAATGGTTAAAAAAATACACTTGAGGCTGATCTATAATGACTTGATGTGTAAAATGACGCACCTTAAGTTGATTAAAAAATGCGTCTAGAACA